CCCCGCGGCCATGATCCATAGAGGGTAAGAGGCCCCAAGGGGCCAGGTCAACTTGGCCCCGCGGCCACGACCCACAGAAGGCCAGAGGTCCTAAGGGGTCAGGCCAACTTGGCCCCGCGGCCATGATCCATAGAGGGTAAGAGGCCCCAAGGGGTCAGGCCAACATGGCCCCGCGGCCATGATCCATAGACGGTCAGAGGCCCCAAGGGGCCAGGCCAACTTGGCCCCGCGGCCACGATCCATAGAGGGTCAGAGGCCCCAGGGGGGCCAGGTCAACTTGGCCCCGCGGCCACGATCCATAGACGGTCAGAGGCCCCAAAGGGCCAGGCCAACTTGGCCCCGCGGCCGCGAACCATAGAGGGTCAGAGGCCCCGAGGGGTCAGGCCAACTTGGCCCCGATCCATAGAGGGTCAGAGGCCCCAAGGGGCCAGGCCAACTTGGCCCCGCGGCCACGACCCACAGAGGCCCCAAGGGGCCAGGCAAATTTGGCCCCGCGGCCATGATCCACAGAGGGCCAGAGGCTCTCAATCATTATTATCAAAGCTAATTCTCAAATTGGATGGATCACACAACCTCACTCACATATTCTTTATCAATTATTAAAGGTTGTTTCTGAATTTTGATCACAGAACTTAATGCAAATATTCTTGATTGATTGACAAAGCTCATTCTCAAATTTTGATTACACAACCTTACTCTGACAAATAATCATTATCAAAAAGCTCTATCTCGAATTTGGATCACAGAATCTCACTCAAGTATTCTTAGCTGTGCCCCTCCCCCATCGAGTCTTTCATAAACCGGTCTGTTCTTTTAGAATCTCCTCATTTGGTATTTTGAACTCGTGAGAGACTGCTCAAAATTTGGTTTCCTTTCCCTCAGTTCAGACTCAGAGATAATTTGAAATCATTCAACAAGAAGTTTAACGCGCGCACACACACACACACACTTGAGTTGAGCATTACTTGGAAATTCTTATATTTTCCATTTTGCTGTTACTATCAGCATCTTCCCATTTTGTCCTTTTCTTTCGAAAAAGTTTACAGTCTGACATTTGTCACTGCTGTCAGTTAATAACTTTTTGGTCTTTGACCCATTTTGTCATTTTCTCGATTCGATCGTCACTGACCACTCTCTCCTGTCTGGCACACATCGTTGCTGCCATCATAGCTCGCAAGCTGCCTGCAGATAGCAACATTTTGGTGTCCTTTGTGAAAATATTTAGATAGAAGACAAAAGTGCACAAAGTTGTACAATTATTATCTTTTCAAAATATTTGTTTCACTGTCAGTGTGATTGACCGACTTTGCCGCTAGATTTCGTGTCTTTTGGCCATACCTGGCTAGCGACTAAAAACATCATTTAGCGACTTTTTGGTTGTGAAGATAAGTGGTAAAAGCAGATCTGCCTGTTGGTCTTCCCACATTTTGCCATTTGGTACTTTGCACTCTTGTTGGTCACTCCAAGGCATTTGTCCCTGCCTTCAGCTAGTCACTTGGCTCTTTTGGAATATATTTCACTGTAATTGTCTCTCTCTCTCTTTCTCCTCAGTACAAATCAGTCTGTTCCCTTGCCATTTAGACATTTTCTTGATTCGATCATCACTGACCACTCTGCTCTCCTGCTGTCTATCAGATGAATCAGTTGATTCTCTGCTCTCAATTGTCTATGCTAGTAAGCTGTTATTCTCTGCTTTGGAGTGTTGATGCTGGGTTGCTAGTTTTTTAAATCACCTCACATACTTGAAGGAAGCAGCACCGATCATAAACACACAAACAAACTCACACACACACACACACACACACACACACACACACACACACATAGTTGGTTTATCTGTTGTGATAGGCAAAGAGCCAATGTGCAAAGAAAGAAGGGAAATATGGATCATAAACGTTTAAGTGGAGGAGCTAGAAAAAAAATTCAGCAAGAAAAAAAAAAAAGGAATCAGTTTTACTTGAGAGTGTTCCAAATATCTCCAGCTTCTTCAGTACAAAGACATCTGCTGAAAGCAATTCTATAAATGCTACTGCAAATTCAGCTAAGGTTAGCAATGCACCTGAGCTAGCATGTAGCTCCCAAGATCCTGAGACCACTACAAGTGTAGACACTGAACCAAATGCTTCTGATGCTTATGATTCAACCAATTCAGCAGTAGCCAGTTGCTCGGATGAATGTGAGGTCACTGCACCTCTGGACAGCATAGAAAATGAGCTGAATCTTTCTTCAACACCATCTACAGTGACAACTCTACCTAGTGATCCCGCTAAATGGGCTGAGACCCTCACTGAGTCAATGAAGGAAGTTCTTATTCAAAGAGGTGCAAAATCATTTCACAACCGTCACAGCCATTATCCAGCTTCTGTGAGGAACAGTGGGCTAGGAGGCAAAACCCGATGCCTAAACAGTGAACATTTTACTTCACACTTGCCCAATGGACAACGAGTACAAAGAGAGTGGCTGATGTCTACTGGTAATGTTTACTGCTTTGCATGCAAACTGTTTTCCCCAAAAACGCATTCTTTTGTGACAGGCTATTGTGATTGGAAACACTCAGAAAGATTTGGTGAACATGAGCGAAGTGCTGAGCACATAACCTGCATGCAAGCAGTCTTGAACCGCGCCAAAGGTGCCACAGTTGATGCAGACCTGTTCAAACAGTTTCAGGCAGAGAGCAGCTATTGGAGGCAGGTGTTACAAAGAGTTGTTGCAGTCATTAAATTCCTTGCAGAAAGGGTCCTTGCATTTAGGGGTAAAAATGAATTGTTAGGGTCTCCTCTCAATGGGAACTACCTTGGTATTCTGGAGGTCCTGGCTGAATTTGATACCTTTCTAAAGGATCACATCAGAAAGTTTGGGCAGATGGGTCGAGGTAATACCTCATATCTGTCCTCCACCATTTGTGAGGAATTCATTGAATTGATGGGTGCAAAAACCAAACAGGCTATAGCAGATTGTAGAAGCTATTTTTCGTATTTACATTAGTGATAAGCTAAAATATGTGTGTTTTGACTCCCATCTGTCTACCATCTGTATCTTCCAAGGTCTGGACGTCAACAGGCCAACTACCGGGAAAAACCTGATAAGGGCATGACGTCCAATACTTTCCTATCTCATAATATGTACACTGCTTATCAACTATCAGTCTAATAAAAATCGACTGCTTGAGGAATGCGGAGTGAGATTCGATGTGTGGCACTCTCTGGCCACACAGTCTCTCCCTCTTCTGCAGTTGAGAAAAACTTATCCTCTGTGTCAAGCCTTTTTATTCTGATGCCTCTTCCTGGGTCTATTGATTAATAACTAAACTCTTGATAGTGAGGAACTAGGAGTCGTATTTAGACCCAACACAGATGAACTGCAAGCAAGCAAATACTACTCTATCATTGTGGATTCATCCCCAGATTTATCTCATGTGGACCAATTGACATTCATATTCCGTTTTGTTAGCAAAGAGGGCAGTGTTGTTGAACGCTTTGTGGGTTTTGAGCCCATTACTAGCCATACAGGTGAAAGTTTGGCTAACTGTGTCATGTCTGTGTTGGAAAATCTAGGGTTAGAGCTGTCAAATTGCAGGGGGCAGGCTTATGATAATGCCAGCAACATGTCAGGGAGGTATAATGGGTTGCTCACTTAAAGAAAAGCAACCCATTAATACACTATATTCCATGTGCAGGTCACTCTTTGAATTTGGTGGGAGTCAACAGCATTGACAGATGTGGAAATGAAGTCTCTAAGTATTTTGACTTGATTCAGTCTATTTACAACTTCACAACTGCATCCACACACCGATGGGACAAGGTATTTGGCAATTCCAACATAGATCTCACACTTAAAGCTTTATCCAACACGCGTTGGAGTTGCCGTGCAGAATCTATCAAAGCACTGTGGCAGAACTACAGTAAAATAAAAGCAGCACTACAGGTTATTTCCACTGATGACACAGAGAAACGAGACACACGAACTGAAGCTGACAGTCTAGTGCGGAAGCTGGATTCACTTGAGATGGCCTTCATGGCAGGCTTTTGGGACACTGTTCTGTCCAGATTTCAGGCCACAAGTCTGACACTTCAAAAAGCAGACATGGACCTTGGTACAGCAGTTAGATTGCTGGAATCTCTGCGCACCTTTGTTCTCTCCCAAAGAGATCTATTTGATCATTTTGAGCAGAAAGCCTTAAACATGTTGGGTGGCACCCCATCTTACAGGGCTGAACGGACGAGGAAACGTAAAAAGTTTGCTGATGTATCAGCATCCCCAGATGTTGTGCTTGAGGGAAGGCAACTGTTTCAAATAGAGACATTTATTGCCTCTATTGATCAACTGAGTTCAAGCCTTAATCACCGTCTGGAGGCCTACAAACATCTGAACAATTTGTTCAGTGTCCTTTTCTCTTTGGATACAGAGTCCAATGCTTCAGTCCTTCACAAGGCCAAGATTCTCACTGAATCATACCCATCTGACCTCAATGAAAGTCTTGGACAGGAGCTTATACAGTTCAAATCTTTTATACAGCTCAACAACACTGATGAGGAGAGGACCCCTTCAGGACTGCTCAAAACAATAATACATTTTGGACTACAGCCTACGTTTCCTAATACATACATTGCGCTACAGATTTTTCTCACTCTACCGGTCAGTAACTGTGAGGGAGAACACTCATTCTCTCTTTTGTCAAGAGTAAATGAGTTGCGCACAAGAATGACTCAGAAAAGATTAAATGCGTTATCTCTAATGGCAATTGAGAGTGAGCTGACAAGAGAGTTGGACTTCAATGATGTGGTGGATGATTTTGCAAAATTGAAAGCACGAAAGAAACCCCTTGCTTAAAGGTGCACTGTGTAAGATTTTAGGTTATTTCCAGAATTCACCCATTCACTAATGTTAGGCTACCTGTTTTCATGAATACTTACCACCACCATAAAATTCTAAGTATCCATTATGACTTGGAGAATTGCACTTTCGCCATTTCTGGGAAGTGTCACCTGGATTGTGAAGATAGGATTGACTTTAAGCAGAAGCTTGGTGCTTTCTCTGGCAAACTGAACCTCAAGCTTCATTCTCTGCAGCTTTGCATTCTTGTGCAGACTTTCATCCACAAGGAACTTTTCAACTTCCCCACTATCGTGAAGGGGCCATCAAAAGATTTCAGTGTGTCCAGCATGTCTAGTCTCTTACTCTCCTTTCTTTGAGCCATCTCTTGTTTCTCATCTGCCCTACTCTCGAATTTTGCCTTCATGAATTTACTCCAGTTGAGTTCAACCTCCCTTTTTGCTTGTGCTGCTGCCTTGAAACCTCTGAAGCTCCTGGCACTTCTGTAAAATATTGACCTATTGACTGCGTTCAGTGTGCCCAACTTCTTCAGTTTGTAGTCCACCTTGCCACATTGTCTCTCCATCCCAATGTTGTGCACAGGGGTGCCATCAATGTTACTAGCCTTTTCACTGACAGGGTCCATTGGGAAGGTCTCCTCGTCCATCCTCTGCCTGGCCAGGACAGTCCTCAGATGGGGCAGCATGAGATCTGTCAGCTGCTTCACTTCATCCAAGTATTCGGCAGCCACGTCTGACACTGAGTTCAGGACATGTCCAGTGCCTGTCCAGCCACTATAGCATTCTTGGAAATGGGCTATCTTGACCTACATGCAGCCCTTGTACCATGAACTGGCCTACACCTTTCTTTGTGGTGCTCTCCGATGCATGTTATCATTTTACCTTTCTCCTTCTCCTCAAGCTTAACCACAAATAGATACAGACTTTGAGCCTCAATTTGCTGCACAGCTGCCGTTATGCCAAAGTGTTTTCCTAAGATATTATTTTATTTTTAATGATAGAAGGGAGGAAAAGGGGGCAAAAATCATGTCCGATTTAGTTTTTTGGGTGGGGTGGGGGGTTTATTTCATGATAGCTACCAACTTCCAATACATAATATCTCTCAAATGACCCAATGCACCATCACTGAAGTGGGCATAATCATTTTCCAAAATGTGTATTTTTAGGCCATTTATCCCCTCCCCCTGTGTCTGTGTGAAACCTGTGCTTGTCAGTGTCTGTGTGGTATACCTAATAGTGTGTGTGCAGTATGTGCACTCTTCTGTACAGGACAGTGTGCATGTCTGTTCACAGTATACAGTATTTCTTGCATAGTGCGTGCGTGTGTGTGCGCCCGCACGCGCGGGGGGTTGAGGGGCCAAGACCATGTCAGGCCCAGGGGGCCAAAATTTCTTAATCCGCCCCTGATTCCCTCCACAATATTAGAAATAAAACTTGACAGCAGCACATGCGTGTTATGCTGTTACGAAAAGAAAAGAGAAGATGCAAGCCTGTTTTACCACGTTGGTTATGTTTCAAGCCTTTTATATCAGACAAAAGACCAAATCCAATTGAAGTTAATGTTTTCGAGTGCTTAACTATTTAACATTGTTTTAAATTAACGTTCAAAATAAACTGAACTGAGTTGAATATATATTTGTTTAATATTCAACTAAGTAAAAAAAATAAACGTTCAGTTATGCTCTATACAAAGATCTTTTGTCGGTGTTTGTCAGCTTTGGTCAATGACTTAATCACGCTTGAGATTTACCTAAAAATAAATATGATTCTTAAATTCAGACTGGGTAATCTCTGGTGTATTGAGGGACTTGCTGTAGAGAGTGTAGGCGTGGATGCAGGCAGCTTCGTCGAATTCCCGGATGGAGAAGCGGCGCCATCTTTACGCCCGTGCTACCGGTGGGTCTCAAGCTAAGCAGAGCAACAGTGCAGTTGCTTGTCCACCAAGAGGAATTGTTGAGCAGCCCATAATACTCCCTTTCTACCGAGACGCCACAAGTTTCACTACTTAAACACCATGGCAGACAGGGAGAACTCTGTATACCAGGCAAAACTCGCCGAACAAGCGGAGAGATACGACGGTAAGGCTCTGAACAGATGACAGACATTGTTGCCTCTTGCCCACTCCGTCTCCTAGCGCAGAGGGTTCTGAGACGCAGGTAACGCAGTTCACATGGAATTGATGGGTAAGAGGATACAAAATGGCGGAGGTTTTCCCAGCCCAATGAAATTAAAGTATTAAACTGTTTTAAGTTCAAATAAAAAGCCGATGTTGCCTGATTGGACGAGTATACCTTTAGACTCTCTAGTGTCATGCAACCATTTATTGTAGTGACGTGCTTAGCTAAGATGTTCCCCAGTTAGTAAGCTTTTGCTAGCTATGCAACTGGCTAACCAGCTAGTTAGCCTTTCTTCAGTTCAGACACGCGTCACGCAAAACTCTGTTAACAGCGGTACAATAAGTTTCCACGCCTCATCAGCCGTGACTTCGGAAGAAACTTAATTATTAATCTTCTATGACACATTGTGATTCTATTTGATTCAACAAGCGGCGAAAAATGTATCGGAACTTATCAGTGCTAATGCTCAACCTCCGCCCCACTAATTAAAAAAAATAATGAATTGGTCTCACTTAGTAAAATGTATTCTATAATATTATTACGATGATAAAATTATAATTACATTTAACAGTTCTTTAAATGTTTAAACGTGTCTGCAGTTTCCCCCAAGACAAATTCGGTAAACGTCCAGTATCGCGGTATTCTTCGTAACTAAAAACATGTGAAGTCTACAGGAGTAAAATGTGATTAGTGGCTGAATACTTATTTATCGACGACAGCTTTAGTTGGGCAAAGCTTATTTTACTTTCAGAAAAAATAAATGTTGCATAAAAATATTGCAGCATTACCTATGACAGACAGAGCTTTATGAATATGACTTAACACACAGTTGAATCAATATGACCAAATTAAAAATTCTTGCAAGACATTCAATAAAAGGTGTGCCATTTCACAAACGATTGTAACAAACGATGTTAAACAAAAAAATTAGAAAGACAACCTTTTTGCCTTTGTAATTTGGCATGAAATCAGCCTATGCGTGCAAAATGGTTTTATGCTTGGATTTGCATCTGAATCCATGATGCACATTAAAGTTGTATCAGTGATTCAGAGAGAATAGTACAGAGCTTGTGAAGTATAACATTGTGACAATAATCATGGGAATAGGTAGGGGTGGGTGATATAAATATCTGACGATGGAATCGAACATGTTGCTTTGATGATGTGCAATTTTACATGATCAAGTATTCACACTGTCTCAAGGAGAACCAACGGTGCAAATACAATACAAAAACAATACATGGAAGCCCTCATTCACAGTATAAGCAGTTCAACAACAAATCTGTTCCACCAGAGAAAACCATGCAAAAGTGTATGAAGATTATACAGAAATTTGTGACACCACAGATTGATTATGGCCGACGAAAAAACAAGTAAATATATATTTTCTAAACAGCTATTGAGCAAACCTTATTTATATATCCCCCTGAGTTGTATGTACAGCCTGGATGTTTGTTATAGTCAAATATAGCCATAGATTATTGTTGGGCAATTTTTTGCAGAAGGCCATAATATGTTTGTTTGCTTGTTCTGCAGAAGTTGTATGAAGCATAAACAAGATCTGTACTTCTGAAATGTTGTATCAATAACCAGATGTCGTTGAAGTAATGAGGGTTGACAGATTTTTTATTTTAAAGAAAGATAAATATAACACTATTGAAAGGTTTAAAGGATAATCTTTCTAGATTATTATCTTTTTGTCCATATTGTTCACATCTAGAAATAGGACATAGGCTATATCCGTTTCTTATTTAAATCACATTAGAACTTGTGTTCATTGACTTTTTTTATTGAGAGATCAATACATGCACATGCTAATACGTTTTTAATGACTGAATAGTAGGCTCTGATTTTTTTCTCTATGGTTGCTCCCATTGTCTTAGGTATATCTTAAGTTTGCGATTACTGTCTTTGCCACTTTTGATTTTTACTATTTGATTTTTTTAATTTTCTGTTTCACACTGATTTGGAAGTCCTTGACAGCTTGAATTGTATGAAGAATTTTCCCATTATAATTTTCCCACACCAAATAGCATTATTTTAGCAGAGCTGCAGGTGCTGCTTGTCCAGCATTCGGTTTTTCCGTGCTCAGGTTTATATGGTTACATCTTCTGTTTGTACAGTGTGCGTGTGTGAAAGGTTTCATCTTAAAAATGCACTTAATGATCTTGCAAACACAAATCAAATATAATTTTTAGGCACATGTATCTTCCTGGGCAATTGATGCTTAAGTGAGCTAAAAAGAATGACAGGAAGGTGAAAAAAGATCAACATCTGCTGCAAAGTATACAGATGTGATTTTATTCTTGCATTGATTATGCTACGGCAGGGCAGCTCGAATATTTAAGTGACATCCTGTCTAAGCACCAAATGTTTGGTCGAACGGCCCATTATTGGGAATAATCATGTGAAAAGCCTAAATTGTTAGCTTTTCCATGTATATCAAACACAGAGTGGATATGATGCTTAGGAGATCATTAGTCTGACATATCCCATCTGATTGGTGCCATTAAGATAAGTTACTGTATATTCTGAACTATGAGTTGCACTTTTTGATGTCTGTCTGGTACAAAAACTTGTATAATTGAATATATGAGCCTTCAAATGGCAATTCATATGTTACAGTTTAGGTTTGTGACAACTATATGCTGATCCTGTATCGCTGAAGAAATCAACAGAAAGTTAACTAAAAGAAAACTGAGTAGAAGAAGATTAGGAACATATTGAACTTTCTAAACAGTTAATTGCTTGTTGGACGCAGTCTTATGTTGATTTAGCCTATTCAGTCTCACAGGTATGTTCTTTATGCTATTGAATAACTTCTAATGTGCTTTGTAGTGTACCTAAATAATTTGCCTTTCCAGATTAAACGTATCTTCTAGGATTTTGAGTTTGTGTAATACGTTTCTAACGCAGTCTATTGTTTGGTGGGAATTATGTGTTACTTCATTATTTATGACTAATTTTTTGACTAATCTGTGCTATAGATAAGCTGTTCCCAACCTTTATTTCTTGAAGCCCCCCCTGCTGAAGTCCAAGACAAGCCAAGCCCCCCCAAGCCTTACACAGGCCCGCACAAACGTATCAAAAAATTAAAGTGATTTGTAATAAACATTTATTTATTTGAAAAATAAAGAATAAATGGCTATATCATTTTGTTCTTATCATTTTTTATTAATAATGTATTTTTTATGTCAACGGGTGTACAGTGCACAGAAATGAACTACAAAATCCAAAAAAGAGAGCTAACATATAAACTTCAAACCTAAGCTTAACTTTCATCAGCATGTCCACATTTTCAATATATTTTCCAGTTCTAATTTACAAACATGCATGAAGTAACAACTAAAAAAAAAAAACAGTCCCACTTGATTATACACACACAACTACTGTCTTAAAAAGTACAATTTTACAGTTTCAGAAACCAGTACTAAACTTACAACTTATTTGTTCAGTTACTAATGGGTACCTTGAGCTTGCATTTTTTTGAGCAGGGATGCGATGTCAGGTTTGATTGTTGTGATAGCCAGTCTAAAGTCCTGGTGAACATCGATCTGTTTCTGACTTTTATTGTTTTTATTTTTATTGTTAATAGTGCGCTGAAAGCTGCTTCAGACAGGTATGTAGTGCTAAATGGGAGAATAACCCTGGTTGTTGCGTGTTTGGCCAGTGTGGGAGCGACAGCGTGTCTTTTGGCAATCCAGAACTTTTTAAATCCGTTTTCCTGGAAATATCTTTTGGACACGGAATCAGCTTGAGGGTCACAAAGCTCATCTTCACAGCCGATGTATTCTACGTCCTCCGGGGTGGAAACGTAGGGGTCCAACACCCATGATTCTCTGGATGAATACTGGTCGATGTCGCCAAAGCGGCTCTGAATCTCATCGCAGAGAAGGTTCATGTGCCGTGTAAACTCAGTGCGCAAAGACACACGCACGGCGCCACCAGACTGTTTCAGCAGCAGCGGGAAATGCTGCAAGTCCCCCTTTGACATTTTAGAGACTCTGTCTTCCAGTTTGCGCACATAAGCGTCCAGGGCGTTTTTGCAAAGCATGATGTCCGATTCTGGCCCCTGCATCCGCTTGTTTGTTTCATTGAACAAAGTGAATGTGTCTGCCAGATAAGCCGCTTTGATCCAAAACGCATCAGTCAGTTGTTCAAAGAGTGGCCGATTGTGATCTTGGATGAATTCTTTAATTTTTTTCTTGTAGCTCAATAAAACGCACAAGCACGAGTCTACGCGACAACCACCTCACCTCGGTGTGTAGCAGCAGTGTTTGATGTGCTTCGTCCTCGCACAGCTGGACAAAAAGTATTTTTTTGGAAGGGCAAGCTTTGATGAAGTTTACGACTTTAACTACAGTTGATAGTGTGTCGCTGAGTCTTCTGATAGCTTTTTACTAGCAAATGCCTGGCGATGTAGCATGCAGTGGAAAATCACGCATCCAGGAGCCTTTTCTTTCATTGTGATTGTGATCTTGATTGTGATCTGATTGTGATCTTGGATGAATTCTTTAATTTTTTTCTTGTAGCTCAATAAAACGCACAAGCACGAGTCTACGCGACAACCACCTCACCTCGGTGTGTAGCAGCAGTGTTTGATGTGCTTCGTCCTCGCACAGCTGGACAAAAAGTATTTTTTTGGAGGGGCAAGCTTTGATGAAGTTTACGACTTTAACTACAGTTGATAGTGTGTCGCTGAGTCTTCTGATAGCTTTTTACTAGCCAATGCCTGGCGATGTAGCATGCAGTGGAAAATCACGCATCCAGGAGCCTTCTTTCAGGCGGACGTTAAATCCCTTGTTTTTTCCTATCATTGCAGCCGCCCCGTCCGTGCAACAGGCGACTAGGTTTTCATAGTGCAGATTGTTTGCCTCGAGATAGGAGTCAACAGCCAAAAATATATCCATACCTGTTGTTGTTGTCTCTAGATTTGTAGACATGAGGATATCTTGTTTCAAATCATCGTTATCAATGTATTGTACATAAACGATGAGCACGGCCTCGTCTGCCACTGTGGTTGTCTCATCCAGCTGAATCGCAAAAAGAGTACGACGAAGCGTCTCGTGGAACTGGTTTTGGCAATCTCCAGCCATTTTGTCGATTTTGTCCTTGACGGTGTTATCCAAGAGTGGAACACTTTTAACTTTGTCCGCGTGTGGGCCACACATCCTCTCCACAATTTTTATGCAGGCTGGCTTGATGAGCTGCTCTCCGATATTGTGTGGCTTTTTTGCCTTAGCAATTGATAGCGCGCATTCAAAAGACGCCTCAGTGGCTCTGTGTAAGTCGCCCCCTACTCTCTCAAAAACTTTTCTGATGTCACCTGATCTTGTTGATAGTGCAAGCTGCTTTTTCCTCTCAAAATATTCCCGAGCTTCACCAATAGTTCCATGGTGTCTGGTCTACTGATGCCGTTTCAGTTTGCTCGGCTTCATGTTGTCATTAGCTAGCTTCTCACCACAAATTACACATTCTGGTCTGGATTTGTCCGATTTTTGTCGTAGATCCGTAAGAAATGCTATTCAGTTTTTTGATAAGATAAACAAAATGTGTTTTCATAATTATTTCGTTAGTGTTGCCAAAATTTCCGTCACGTACTAAATTAAACAGTTTTTTGGTTGTCACACAGTTTTACAGTAAATGGTAAATTGTTTTTACCTTATATCTCTAGTTTAAGATTATATCTTTGAAATGTTGAGTATCCCTGAGTAATGGTATGCTTTAGCTTAATAAAATTTGGACATATGGTTTTTCTGGACAGAGGTGAGGTTCTAATGTACGTGAACATGCAGCATCAGCTCAGTATTTGCAATGCATGGATTAGTGCTGTTTTCATTCAGGAATCCCTACTGCCCACACATGACTTTCTGTTTTTCTGTGTCCCAGAAATGGTGGATTCGATGAAGGTGGTGGCTAGCATGGACGTAGAGCTGACGGTCGAGGAAAGGAATCTGCTGTCTGTAGCATATAAAAATGTGATCGGAGCAAGAAGAGCCTCGTGGAGGATAATCAGCAGCCTAGAACAGAAAGAAGAAAACAAAGGTGGCGAGGACAAACTAAAGATGATCCGCGAGTACAGGAAAACGGTTAGACTTGTTCAGTTGTATTCAACTTTTTTTTTTGTTCATAAAAAAAAATCTTAAATGGAGTATTAGTAAAAAAAACAGATTGCTGCTGATTAATTTAGGACAAAGTATGAAACAAACACAACTATTTAAGGTGGTTCTCCTTCACAATTGCTTAGCTTACCTACATACTAACTTGAAGTAGAAGCACGGTTTTCCATATTCCATAGATGATTGACTGGCAATACTTTAAGCTCTCCTTGACTGTCTGCTCCACTTTGAAAGGAAGAGGTGAACGTTCAGCCATGAACAAGCGAAGGTGCAGTTTTTATTTAATACTTGAGTAAAGCATTGCACACTCATTTGCAGGCCCACTGAGGAAATCAATCATTAGAATCATTAGAATCTTTGGCAGCATGAACCACATGACTAACTTGCGGAATCAGATATGTCAAAGTCTGAACCCATACCTCACTCTAATGAAGTAAAATTATCGCAGCTTTTATTGACTTTAATTTTTAAGTGCACAGATGTAAGATTCAGATTCAGATTGAAATGTGATCCAGCATCAGTAATAATGTTCTGTTGTCACGTTTCTAAACGTTGTGTATGAACAAAATGGGGTCCAAAACTGGCTTGTACCACTTTCCAAGTTTGATCTATAAAGAAAAACTTTATGGGAAAACAATGTGCCTTCCTTCATGCAAAGTCTGTTCCGTGCAATAAAAGTTTTGGAGACCCGAAAAATTGGCGACACAGATGGTGAAGTGTGGAACTGAAGCCATGCTGCATTATGATTCCTCAGACATTTTATTTGATTCTGCTTCAATCTTTAATCATCAACTTTATCAAAAGCATTAAAACAGCATTGTTATCTATTCACATGCTGCTGAGCCATAAGTATACATAAGGATCTTTCAAATGAATAAGAAAAGGCCTATACGGCTACTTGAATTTTAATAAAATGTCCCCAAAGCATCCTTGTCATCACATTCCTCTCCCCGATAGTCACCAGGTTGATCATCAGAGAGGCAGATTAACACACAAATTGCAATAAAGTGTGAAGCATCAATTCTTACTGCTGTGAACATTTAAACACTGTGGCGACAATTATGCGTAATGCTGTGCAATGGATACCTTGACACTGCTGGAAGATGGGAGATTTAGTGTTGCCATTCACAACACTTTTTATTTGTCATGACTCAACTTTGGCTACAAAACGAGATATTTTTATGACTTTCCACCTCAATCACCAACACATCGATTTCTTTTTTTCTATTCTCTCTTTTTTTCTCTTGTGTTCTCCATTGCTAACTTTGAACTAACATTGGCTTATTTCAATGTACAAAAAATTCATGAAGCGCTTTGCATTGGCCATTTATGGTTAAATATAAGCTTGTAGAATGGGTCAAACATGAGCTGGAACCAGGTACACAAACATTGAGGTATAGCTGTATTGAACTTTTTCATACATAGCTGTTAAAAGAGTAGACGACTACGTAAAAGCCAATTTCACTGGACATGGACGTAAGAGAAGGGATGAGATAGTCGTGAATATTAGAACAGGATGAGAGTTGCATGTAAAGTTCTGTATTTTTGCATTCTGTTAACAAATGCCAAAATATGCTCACATTGTAACATACTTTAGGTTATTTATTGTAGCATAAATGTAACATACATTTCTTTCATTAGTAAGAAATCTTAAAATATGTCCACTTTTGTGGACGTTGGAAAGATCCTTGAATATATACATTTTTGACAAAATCATTTTTTATACCTTATACTTTGGAAAAAAATATCCTTACTAAAATTATCACAATTCGTGCATGAAAGGGTTAATAAAGAATACATTGCGTGCTGGTGTGTGTATACAAGGTTTTATAAATCAGATTTTTATTCATTTGGCTTTTGGGCATATGTAGACGTTTAGTATAGATCTACAATGTTTTATAAATGAGACCCCTGTTCACTAATGGGATTGGATGTATTTTGGTCTGCAGGTGGAGAAAGAGCTGAAATCAATTTGCAATGACATTCTGGATGTACTGGACAAGCACCTCATCCTAGCTGCAACCATGGGAGAATCTAAGGTTTTCTATTACAAAATGTAAGAGTGTGTAAAAAAAAAAAAAAAAAAAAAGTTTGTTTATTGTCAACCCAGCTGAGGGACTATTCTCATCTTTGCAATCTACCAGTTGGCATCCATGGGTTCCAATTTTATCTCAGTATTTTGGTTGTCTATTACGTTGTCTCTTGTAAACAAACATAAGTGTTTCAAAATTTCTTTTATTTTTTACATTTTTTTTCAACTCAAACTTGTTGGATACTGTGGAGTGAAAGGCTACTTTATCTTTTGCCTTTCGTTTGCTGTCTGATTCCACTTCAAAGGCTTTCGGTCCATGAATCACCATCATCAATCTTGAATCAGAGTATTCATTAGCTCCCAAATAAATTAAGAAATCAGGTTGAGATTCAACTTGGTGGAAATCGACAAAATATTTTTAGAGTTTCACAGAGTATGATCAGATCTTTTAAACTGTGATCCGTTTTCAGTCATATAGTGTCCAAATGTGGTGTGGAGATGGTTGAATCTCTAAAAGGTTTTTTGGACTTGAAATCGTAATTTTTATGACTTGACACATTGCGTTATATCTCAGCAGGTCTACCTCCCTGTATTAGTCACAAAAATGCTAAGGTGCTTCTTGAGTTGGGATGTCCTGCATCAGAACAATGTGAACAACTTTTTAAAAATGGGTAAAAAAAAATGCTTCATCAGTGAAGCAATCTGGCTGTTTCAAGGTTGCACTTAATAATAAGACAGTTTTATAGTTAAGCGTGAGTGGAATTGAACAGGACATTTAAGTCAGAACACTTTGAGTGTTCATTTTGTGTTGAAGACGATCCGTCTGATCTTCTTTTTCTCTTCCCTGCTCAGGAAGGGAGATTACCACAGGTATCTGGCAGAGTTTGCCACAGGCAATGACAGGAAGGAGGCAGCTGAGAACAGTTTGGTAGCTTACAAAGCTGCAAGTGACATCGCCATGATTGAACTTCCTCCAACACATCCTATTCGTCTTGGATTGGCCCTTAACTTTTCTGTTTTCTATTATGAAATCCTCAACTCGCCAGACCGTGCTTGCAGGTAAATGTTTGAAGTTTTTATTGGAAAGAAAATGTTTTCAGAGCAAGAATTCTCTGTCAAGCACTATGCAACTAGTTGAACTATTCAGACTTCCTCATTTTAAAACATTTTCCTAGCCTTAGCCACAAGCCATAACAATCATGAATATTTAGCTGAACAGTCCTTCACAAAGGAAGGATAAATATAGCCACTTTTTTCATGTGGTGAAATCTAGCTCTCTGCTGTGACTGAGATCCCAGTCACAGCGGAGAGACATCTTAGAGCCCTTGGATGTATTTAGATTTTAAATTCTACAAGTTGACAGCTTGGAACTAGTTTTTACATGCAGCAGAAACATTTATTTAAGTAATTAAAAATGACTTAATCTTTCCTTTCTTTATGCCGTCAATGCAGATGTGGATTATACAGATCCTCCTTATCCTGTGGACGTGACCAGGTTGTGTTGAATTCTCTCTGACAGGTTGGCAAAGGAAGCATTTGACAATGCCATTGCAGAACTGGATACGTTGAGTGAGGAAAGCTATAAGGACTCAACACTTATCATGCAGTTGCTACGTGACAACTTGACACTATGGACCTCAGATGTGCAGGGTGACGGTGAGACATAACCAATTGGTTATACTTACTTTTTCTTTCACTAGGACTCTAAAGATTGGAGTAATTCTGTCTAGTTTCCCTCCTGCTCCCATCATTATTGGCATCTTTACACACTTTGTTTTAAAGTAAAAGAAATGCATGTCTTCAGGGACTCTTTCCACCTAAACTTAACACAAAGCATTTTTGTTGTTTCTTGAAATGTTTATTCTGACACTCATAAAGGACATGTTTGAGAACTCATGGTCTTAGCTTTATCTCCTCCTGAGCTCAGTGCTCCATTTTTCCATTTTTACTCGGTGCTCAAGGTTTCTATTAACCCTTCATCTCTTGTCTTGGACTTTTCTCCCTCGATTGCTCCTATTTCACCACCCAACACCTCCTCACTCAACTCCTTACAGCGCCATGTCCAGACTTTTAAAGCATAACCAAGCATAACCAAACAGTAATACTTGTCTTTACACTTTGTTCTGCTTTTGTAAACTCGAGTTCTGTGTGTTATCATCCCACCAGATCAGAAGTGAAGCATAATTATTTTAGGGGGGTTGTATGACATTTAACAATTTCAGTTTGACAAAGCTGCCATTTAAAAATAAAATAGGCAAACAATATTTTGTTAAACATCAAGTTTAGTGCTCCTCAAATTCAAAATATACCAATAAAAGTTTGAGAGCTGATTTAGACCCATTCTGAAAACTAATTCCAACCATAAAAGCCTGTGGTTAAAAAAAATGTAGCCTCATTATTTAAAGCCAAGCAGGTTTTTACCTGTAACCAAGGATTCTGTAAAATGTTATGTTTGTAACCTTGCTTAAAAATACATTACAGGAACTAGTGAACAGATTAGTGCTGTGCATCCGCATGAGAAGAAAACATCAGCTAATAATTTATTACATCAGTCAGCCCTGTTCTCATAATGCTAACCTTCAGAAATAAGTCAACTGGAGAAGTAAATATGTGAGTAGAAGCTGCTTAGAATATTAACTTGTAAATGCTGAATTTACTGATTTAAAAAAAAAAAAAAGTTTTTTTTTATATAATTGTTTTACCTGTGCTCATTAGACGGTTTACAGTAGAGATATAACAGAGGAAGACATTTGGGATGACTTCCAGTGGATTTTCATACCCCTTGGCTGCCAGTGAGTCCTGCGACACCATGATTGTCAGTTATGTGTCACTACCTCCCAAATGGCCCAGCACTGCACCTCAGCCTGTTCTGGTTTGACTCAGACATTCCTAGTATGAGCTAGTAGAAACTACAGGGTGCTTCGCATGTAGCCAAAGAGCCGTCTAACTGAATCGAGCCGATCAGGTATGGATAAGTTTGGTTACCAGAAGCACATCATGTTGAAGTGAGACGTTGGAGACGAGTTGCAGTACCAGTACATGAGCTTGCTACTCTGTTGCTACTCTGTTTCCTGCTTTCTCACAGCTTAGTTTGCTGAGGTGCTAATGAGCACCGTCACTCTATTTTGACCATGATGGATTCTAACCTTTATTTGTCCCTCTCAATTTTTTATTAACGCTGATGGCTGTGTGTACAGATGCAGATGTACAGGTTAAGAACATCTGAAAACTGTAAACTCTGGCTCAATGGCTCACATGTTGGCACATTTAGTATTGAACACTGCAGTTTGACTGTCAATGAGTTTTTTTCCCATCTGGTCGGATCCACGGATCAGCACTCATTTCTGAAGCAAGGATAATTGAGTGCAAGGCTTTTAGAATAAGCAGTGAAGAACGTGATTATTCTCAGTTTTTATTAGCTTTATTTATTAACACTGGGCATAGATTTACCTCTGGCACTGGACTCTGTGTTGCCTCTGTGCTAAACATAAATCCTGACAACTCATCATGCCATCCCTTATTTCACTTTTAAAGGCTGTAATTTTGGTTTTTAATATGATCAATGTTTCTTTTAAAAAAATGTTTTATAGTTGGTAGAGCTTAAGAATAGTCATGGACCAAACATTGAAATAATCTGATAGATACCTGTCTGTTTATGGAAAGCTTTGGGACTCATTTGAGTCTTTCTAAAATCTGAGCTCCATGTGGTCACACATGGGTGAGACGGGAAGAAAAAACATCAGTTATCAAGCTACCACATTTACCGTTTGGTAAATATATATTTGAAAAGCTATGCACTTGAATTGTACATTTTTCTTAATATATATATATATATATATATTTTTTTTTTAAGCTCCTGGTTAATTGGAGGATCTGTGTTGACATTTTAGCATCTTTATGACTGTTCCATGTTCTTTGTCTCAGGTGAAGAACAGAACAAAGAAGCACTGCAAGATGCAGAGGAAGAAGCTCAGTGAGACTGAACAGCACAAGATGAGCCCTCCTCTCGCTCCTTTCCCTCCTCTTATTTTCCTGTTCGCAGCACTAGCTCCTGTCCCCTGCTGCACTTGCCTGCAAGGTTCATTCTTCAGCCTACTCTTTCTCTACCGTTTCTTCCATTTCTGCCTCAGCTTTTCTCTTCATATGCATGTCACCTCTTTCCCTTGAGGGCTGACCTAGGTCCTTGTATCCACTACCCAGGGATTTCACCTTTTTCTGACCTGCTCTGCAAGCCTGTACCCTTTAAAGTTAATGTCTTCTTTTACTAATTTTACTTTGCTTTACTCTTCCGTATCTGTTGCCAAGTAAGCTTGCCTCCATTTGAAACACAGATGCAAGAGTTTATTAAAATATACTTTTTTTTTTTCTTCCTGTGTATGTGTGCTTATGAGCAGCATCTTGTCCATGCTGCCGAGTTCCAAACAAATCTTTAAGGAATATAGTGGTGGTGGATAGTTGAAAAGGGATGTGGGGAAGCTTTTAGGAAGAACCTAGTGCCCACTTCACTGTGTGGTTAGCATACTTTTCTTGCAGCACATTATGGTTTAATTTTGTGACAAAAATCTGAATGTCCCCCTCTTTGTGCATCACGGAACTCTACTCTCTCACATTCAGACCAAGTATTTTGCTGCAAGACTGTAGCGCTTTTGCAAAAGGCAGTTAGTTGGGTTATGGCGTTTTAACAGACAAAATGTGCGTCAGAGAGGAATGCTCTGCACCCTTGATTGTAATGCAGTTTTGCTTTGGCACTATGTAAACAATATGGTCTACTGTATCTTTACTCCCCTGACTTTTTCAGGTTTCCCTTTCTCATGTCTCTTTACTTTCATTTCTTCTCTTCAGTATGTGTAACGTGAATCTGATTTGTACTACTGGATATTCTCATCGGAGCCACAAGTACCATCTGTATTCTTACAGAAACACAGCATGGAATTAACATTAAAAATCAAATAGAAAATGTTAAATCACTGTGTGAGATGTTTTCTTTAATGGATGCCTCTGTTTTATGTGCAAATCTGGTTTATAATCACTAGAGGGCAGTCGGCACGAACAAAGCCAGAGAAAGGAACTGCTGAGTGATAAGTTGTGCTGCTCTGAAGAAAACGGCAGCAAGACAGAAGAACAAAATCTTGAATTTAAGGTATATGAACAATTTAAGTAATAGAACTTGAAACGAAGGAGTTGAAAGTTCAAACCTGAAGACTTTTATTCAATTTTGATTTATATTTTGGGTTCCACCATAGTGTTCAGAGGTGTCAGAGGACCAATCAGATTACTGTTCCTCAATAGACTGCGATAGTTTATAATTATTTGAGTCTGACAATAAGCCTCATACTGTTTCTAGCCTGCTTATATGAGAGGGAACACTAAAGAATTTAACATTACCACAGGCAGGTGTATTTTATTTAAATTCAGCCAATAGTTAGCTTCACGATTTGACCACTGATAATTGTACGCATTCTAGGAGTGATTATCGTCTCTCAGTATCTCTGACAGGACACACACACGCCAAATGATTGATTTCTTCTGGCTTTCACCTGAGGAAACAACCCTTTAAAGTATTTCTACTTTACAATAAGTGACAGAAAGGGGCAGTTGTATTTCCAGTCAATCTGACATTCACTGGCAAAAAAGAAAAGCTCTTTAGGAGCCAGTTGAACAGTTTCATCCATCTGAGTTATTAAATGTTTAAATATCAGTCTGCCCACACACAAAGCTTAATCGGTATGAAAAGACTTATTGGATTTATTTTTCATTAGTGTTATATATAGTAGCTACCTTGAGCACGGATTGAAATGGAGATATAGTACTCCAAGAATGTTTTCAAAGTTCCAAAATGTTTTTTCAATATACTTAAAAGAAAACCATGCTCTTCAATAACGACACCGTACATTGCAATTTGAAATTAGTTTTACTTAAAAAAGACACAATAAAGATGTACAACTGAAATCAAAATAAGATGCCAAGTTAAACTTCAGTCCTGAAGATGGATGGCAGGACACAAAATCAAGACTTGGACTATTTTAGCTGGTTTCTCCCTGACAGTCCACATTGGCATGTTTGTGGGAATGTTTACTTCACCACCACTACTGATGTGTTGGTGAAGATGCAGTGTCTTGTTTCCTATTGCAGATTGTCCCACCTTTTCCAGTAGTGATGAGGACACTTAAGAAAGCGCTACTACATTTCTTCTACATCATGTTCAGCCTCCCAGGAGGATCCACAGTGATTAAAAAAGGACTGGGTCCCGATCATGGCTCAACACACATACATATATAATTTTCTTTAAAAACTTTAAATAACATACTGTGAGAGAAATTGTACTTTTTATTTATGGACTAGTGTTTTCACACATATCTAAAAGATCTACCCAGATAGTATTAAACTGTCAACATAGAAGACCAGAGACAGACAATTTCTTTTTCATTTCTTGGTACAAAAAAATAGATCAAAGAATGGCAAAAAAATAGTTATATTGTGACTACAGAAACTTGATTCATAAAGAAACTCTCTTGGTCTATGTCTGCACAGTGAGGGTAGTGGATAAAGGATTGGGATGGAACTAATTAACATTAATTTCTTAATATATTCATTAATTGTTATGCAACAAGTATCAGAAGATTTGGGCAGTTGATACCCCTCACATCAAGATTTGAATGTTCCCATATAATACAGTAATGAATTCAACACAAATTAGAAGACAACCCCACCATGTTTCCTCCCTCAAGTGGCATCATCCTTTTCATTATTGCAATAAATAAAAGCTTTACAAAAAATGAACTGTCTCTTCACCACAATATCTCTTATGTACATCTGTTTAAAAAGCAAGCACTGTCTTACTATGTACAGCGACAAAAGATTTAAATCTATTTTTCATGGAATATACATATTTATTTGTTTTCACAGTTTTTTTATGTTTCTTCATATAGTCAGTTTCAATAACTTTTTTTTTTTCAACAGTACAAATATTTTTCTTCCTGCTGTCATGGCATTGGGCTGCAGCCCTCCCAGTGTCACCTGTCAGTTGATATCGGGTGTGATTGTTGTCCTTTGAATGCTGTTCACATTTATATAGCAAATACTGTTTGGTTTAAAAACAACCTTGATTAGGGTTCTGTTTTGCCTGTTCGCAGCATTTTAAAAAAGGAAAAAAAGCATAGTTTTGAGTTTCAAGTTTACAGTTTTCTGGTCTTTATCATATCCTATGATATTTATGGTCATCCTCTTTTGTTCCTCTTCATCACAGTTAAAGTTTGAAGAGCTCCATTGCATCTTTTGAAAGAGCACACTTGTCCATGCTACCACACAGGATCAAATAAAAAAAAGGAAAAAGGTGACTGTTCTGCTGCAAGTTTCCTTAGATCTCAGTAGGAAGTCACTGAGTTGCAACAAGCGTTATGACCTCTGAGAGTGGATTTTTTTCTTCTTTGTTCCTTTCGTGCCCACTAGAGGACACCTTTTAGCTTTGTGATGTTTGTGGATTGTTTCTGGTTGTGGGTGGTGGGGATTTTTTCTTTGTTATTATTAGGATAAGGCACTTGAGAGGTTTTTGGTTTTCAAGGAAGCTCTGACGAAACCAGGGCCAGGCCGGAGCTCTGGCGAATGGGAGGCCCAGAGTGGACGGCCTTGGGACAATCAGGCGTCAGAACTCGTCCGTTCTCCCCAACGCTGCCTGTGATAGAAAGACGGGCCTTGTTCCTCATCGCTTCTGTGAATGTTAGCTGGGAAAAAACACAGAGAGAAGTTTGTGTATGGAGCAAAAAAACTCACATTTTTGCAGAGTGGAGTTATGAGATTGTTCAGTCTGAGCAAATGGACAAAAGGGCAAATTATTGCCACAGAAGTAAGAACATTCAAGCACCTTTTCCGCACCTCGTTCCCTGTAAGTGCAAATGTGCTAATTTCTTCCATAGGATACTCTCACACTCACCATATCTTCAGCATTTACAGTGGCCACGTTTGTGTGCTTGTGCTTGTTGACAAGCATTTAGGAAATAAAAAAAAAGATCTGCATAGTTTCCATTCAAAGAAAAAAGGCTATGTTCTTTAGTTTGATCAGTAACAGAAACACTGTACCCCAAAAAAAGTATCCAAGATTATTGTTGGCAGCAAAACTGGGCAACAAAGTTAATGTTAATGTGTGTAGGAACTACAAACATTAGCCTCAGACTAACAGCTAGCTAGTTAACTCTTCTACCTTCATAAAAAGCATATTTTCAGGATTTCTACTTTAATTGCAAAGTAACATAGAGACAGAGAAAAACTGGATTCTTTTTTGGAGAAGAAGAATAAAAAAAATAGCATTGTGTTAGATCTGGCAACACACCACATCACTAGACTGTCAAGACAGAGCACTTTGGAGATTTTAGGGGATTAAGTTTTTGTTCCACTGACCAGTGCCCTCATTATTCACCTGGTTATTTTCACAAGGCACTGCGCTGGGATTAATGGCCAAACTGCTGAACCCAGTGTTTCCATGAGAATAGAATGCACGCAATGTTGGTAACTTATTTCACATTTGGAACGTGACCAAATTTTTCTACAATGCAGAGTGCATTTGTGATTTCACATCTAAGTAGTTTACCTTGGTTACAATCAAATATTACTCTTTGGTTTCTGAGATCTTTTGAACTGCACACCCCAGCATCTTAGAGTTTAAGACCACATTTGATCTATTATTTAAATTATTCATGTCTCAATTTGCAGTTAACATAATTGCCTGTAATTTGACAAAAACAAAATAAATTTCTTTAAGAAACCCCAGTTTTTCTTAGCTTAGGTTTAGTTCTAATTTTACCTGTCCAACCTGTACAAAAGACTTACAATCTGGGCAGTACCTCTAAATAAATAAAGATAATTTTGAAAAAAAAAAGTGTAACAAACAAGGAAACTAAGTTTATTTTTCTAATGTATAAACTGTAACTCTGTGCTTTCATCCTGGAACTTATACATTAAATATCCATCCATCCATTTTCATAACCGCTTATTCCTTAATGGGGAACTGGAGCCTAACCCAGTACTCAATGGGCGAGAGGCAGGGTACACCCTGGACAGTCTGCCAGACCATTGCAGGGCCACACAGAGACACACAAGGCCGAAAAATTAAATATATAAAATGTATAATAAAAAACAATCATTAAACATCCATCCATCCATCCATTATCAATACCGCTTATTCCCTGATGGGGTCACGGGGGGAACTGGAGCCTATCCTGGTGGTCAACGTGCGAGAGGCAGGTACACCCTGGACAGTCCGCCAGTCCATCACAGGGCCACACACAAGACATACAAGGACAAACAACCACACACACTCACATTCACTCCTAAGGGCAATTTGGAATGTCCGATCAACCTAACATGCAGGGTTTTGGACAGTGGGAGGAAGACATACTCAGAGGGAACACCACACCCACACACACATACACACACACAATTACCAGACTTAAAAAATATAATGTATGTGCAAATGAGAAACAATTGTGCCATGAGCTGCCCTTCTGTGTTAGACCATAGGCTTATTGGACACAAAATTTAAGAAAAACTCCAATCTGAAAAACTCCAATCTGCAAAATCCAAAGTGACAGAACAGCTATAGATTCATATATATATATATACACACACAATTAAAAAATATTTCATAGCTATTCAGAACTGTAGCCAGCACCACATTACATACATATATATCCATCAGTGACAGAATTTTTACAAAGGGAATGATAGTTGCAGGCAGTGGGACAGGGAAGCTGACATAGCAAAAGTCAACATAATACAGAGTTTGTGCTGATGGGGGACACAAAATCATGCTTGAGAGATAAAAATCTGACTGAGGACGTATCTAAAAGTCTAATGGTCAAAGATCTTTGGGAAATATGCAGAGCAAACAGCTCACATCAGTTCAGTGATGTCAGGTCGCCACCCTAATTATGTCAACTTCACATACTCAATGCCTTTGAAATGGCTTCATCAAGGAGGACATCCTGCCTGTTCAGAGCTGGTTTCTTGTTATATATCTTGTGCATGTTTTTCATCTATTGTCTATTTTAAGTGAAAGACTGAAAAAAAGCTGCAGCCTGCTCTGTTGGTATTTAGGTGTATTGACATGGAAGTGTGTTCAGACCTTCAAAAAATAATGCTATGAGAGAACACAGCAGTCAAATAACATGACGTGAGATCAATTAATGCTCTGCAATTTAATGTGATGTCCTTACAGGTGTGGATGTGTGTGAACAGGTGAGACATTGGTCCTAATTTATCATATATTTTTACCCTCTACATACATGAATTGAGTTGCATCACCAAAGCCACAAGTGGTTTCCTTAATGAGCCTGCGTCTTTAGAAATTTGAGAACAGTTAAAATTGAAAATATGCCATTTCTATGCCAATAGTATATAAATACTAAATACATTCAAATTAAATGAATCTTTACAAACCTGCATGTTCACCTTCCATCAAAACATTCATTGCCTTCAAGTTTTATCCTAGGATTAATATCTGACTTCCCACTGAGTTCAAAATTAGCAGCGTGCACTTGCTTTTGGCAGGAAAATGCGTCTCATGGTTTGATAAATGAGGGCCAACCCCTGCAGCCGCAAAGCTGCAAAGCAGTGAGAGGCAGCATCATGTCTGTGGATGACTTAATGCTTCCTGTCACACTGAGATAAAGCTCAATGCAGACTGGGACATCACATGACCACATAATGAGAGGATACGACAGAGAAGTGGAGAGCGTTTTGCCACTGGTCACGACAGTCAGCACTCAGCACAACGAAGTTAGCACAGGGTATTATGGCTTTCACTTACAGTCTCTGTGCAGGGTACTAGTAAAGGGGACCATGAGCTTGGGGAGACCTTCTAGAAAAACCCCGGCTATATCTTATCAGCTTCCCCGTCGCTGCCATAATCATTGAAAACCTCACAAAACTCGGCTAAGTTGTGGATGCTGGGTCTTGGACTCTGGCTTTGGCTAGGCTCTGGGCTATGACGAAGGCTGCCTGAGTGGCAGGGGTAGCAGTGGTGTTGGGAATGGTTGTGATGGGGGGATTAGGTCTGGGTTTGGGACTGGGACTGGGCTTCCACCTTCATTCTCTTGGCCTCGTTGCGTGACTTGTAGCAGAATTCAATGAGTGCCACCAGCATGGCCAGACCCAGGCCCCCAACCAGGATGTAGAAGACCCCCGCCACGTTGCTCAGGCTGAGGGCCTGTGATGACTTATCCTATAGTCGGCCAGGAGAAGAGCAAACATACGAGTTAGTACTAGTTTTAGCAAGACCAAAATAACTAAACAGATATTAGGCAGGGCAATTAGGAAAAAAAAATCACACAAACACATACACAAACACACACATACACACACACACAAACTTGTAAAAGCCTTCTTGAGTTTTCACTGCACTACCTCTAACCTACCAATTAACTTTTGCACTGCAGTTTGCATCAATACCAACACTATCATACACGTTCCCTGAAGCATTGTCACTAGTCAGTTTAACCTAACCCCCCCATTCCTATGTTAATCAGCAGATAGTACTGATTGTTTCACAATGACATGTTTTATTGTGTAAAACACTAAAACCAGTTAGCAAAACCATGCTAATGCTATCCTGTAACCAAAGTAACCTGTTACTTTTTGACTGAAGTGAAAAAAATTAATAAATGTGCAACCCTTTATTTCAAGAACATCTACCGTTTACTCTGGATCAATGCCCCAACGACAAAAAATTTACATGTGTTGTGTCTACTTGGTCAACTCTGGGTTCTGCTTCTAAAAATAGTTTTAGATGTACTTAGCTGCAAAAGTTTTAAAATAGCCTTAGCAGCGGGGCGCTGCTGGTCTTCTAACAGATGATGCTTGTGACAAACAGGCCAAATCTTCTAAAGGGTGTTCCATGATGCAGAATTAACAACTTGTCAAGCAATGTTATGGTGAAACATCAATTCAGCTGGATCACCATAGCAACTTTGGCTGAACTCAAAATAGGAAAGCTACATATTGAATTGTCTTGAAAAGCAAACATTTTTTACTGATTATAAAGTGATGTAAGCCCAGACTGATTTAATTGAATTTAATTAGATGTAAATAATGTTTCAAAGTCGTTATCCTTTCTAAAAATAAATAAATCAGTGTTTAATTGATACAGACTAACTTACATTAAATTAATAATCAACCATCGCCTTAAAAGTAAATCTGCATACTATATTCATCCTGGACAATGATCAAACTTTGATATTCATTGCAGAATACAACCATAATACAATGTCGACAACTTGTCAACATGTATTTTCTTAAACATAAAATGATTAATTAGCCCATTTGACTAGACTTGACATTCTCAGCTAAAAGTGTCTGTCAGAAACAGTAGGATCGCACAAACAGTAGGATCGCATCAACATTATAAAGCACCTTTGAAATACCAGTTATCACTAAGGAAGATTGTAGTTTTGTCAAGCATATTAACAAAAATAAATGACAGGCTGTGCTAAGTCTGCTTCTTGGTACACCCTGATAAATTTCAGGGACTTCAATAACTTCTCTTGATTCATACATCACTTTGTCACTTTGTCCCCACACACTTGTCTTTTTTTTAGGCAAGCTGTAAAAAATATGTTAACCCGAAGAATGTGAAAAAACCTGCATTTTTTATTTCGATCACCTGGCTCTTTAAAAATTCCCCTCCCGTCTCTTAATCTAAACACTCACCTTTTAACCTCCTATTAATCTTAAATGGGTATAGCTGATCTCTCTCTGAGCTCTAACTCTTGTTCATCCTACTGTTTATCTTGCTCTGATAAATCACCCACATATTTTGGTATAATAATTTAGCTCATCATTTCTTGCTACGAAAAACTGCCTCTCATAGTAATTCTTGTTTGCAGGTGAAAGTGTATGTGTGTGTCTGGACTATGGCGGCCAAATAAAAACATATTGTTGATGTGGAAAGTGCATGCTGCTGTGTTTAAAATGCGGCAGATCTCCCCATGTTCCAGTACGACCGTAGCATTGTCCAGTCTTGAATATACTACTGGGGCTGACGCATACAGTACAGCTGACATCACATGTGACATACATTTGTGTCTGAACATGCCTTTGGATTGCCTTTGGTGATGACTAGTGTCTATATGAACCTTAGTTGTTGTTAAACCATTAGCTGTGTTCATGCCTTTTGTCTGTCATGCTGCATCCTTCAGGCTAAACCTGCATGGCCTTTTTCTCAGATGACTAGGTGAGCATTTTTATCAGCCAGCCTGTCATGATAACAGAATATGATAGCCAGCGCAACATAAATGTGCATAGAGACAAACAGAGGCGGGGAGGCTCCCAGGCTGGTGGAGACTGACCTTACTTCCAGAGTCCTTGGGTCCACACTCCCCTTTATCGTACCACCATTTGTTTTTCAGTTTGTCTAAGACTCCTGCTTCACTCAGTTTCAATACGGCAAGGTTTACAGGCGTTCTTCAAATCACGGGGAACGGGGGAGGGTGGGGTAGGGAAAATAACATAAATAACATCATAGGACATGTTATTTTATGTTATTCAATCAGAAGAAGCCCAACAAGAGCAGCTCAGTACTCTTTACAAAGTGACAAAGCCGAGAAGGGGCCCCACTTGAGCTACATGTCTCTTTGCTCGTTGACTGAAGTGCCTATTTGTATGGTTGGGCATTTTGGGAGATATCTAAGGGAAGGGGCAGAGCCAACAGACATATATGTGTGGGACCCCAGCGGCATCGCTTTCCTGGAACAGGCGCATACTGCCGGGACCTTTTTCAAAACAAACATAAAGGAGTTGTGCTGTCAAACCAAAACTATTGGCTCAGTTACGTAGACTCATTGCAGAACCCAAACCAACTCAAAAGAAGATTGTTATCAGGGCATGTCTTTTTAAAGAGAATCACTTACACCCAAGTTTAAGTTTTTATTTTTTCCATCACCCCATAAGCACAACTGCAAATATAGTACTAGTAAACAGCACTCGCCCTTTTCTTTAGATTATAAGCCAGTTTCCAAATCATTCGTTTTTCCTTTAGCCAGTCGACCCGGCAGATGCTCCTGTTACCAACAAACATGACTTTTTTACCCACATCGAGGTCACATGGGCATAGCAACATAGTGGCTAACCTTCTCACCACCGCCTCCGCTGCCACACTCTCCTTTGTCGTACCACCACTTGTTTTTCAATTTGTCCAACAGTCCTTGCTCATTGAGTTTTAACACTGCCAGGTTAACTGCACTTCTTGAAAACGATAAAACATAATTGGTGAGAGGGGTGAGTATGCCGTCCAATTTGGAAGGGAAGGAAGAGGGGAGGGGGAAGGGAAGTGTAGCATTAAGTGAGGACAAAGGTGGAAAAGTGCATTAATCCCATTCAAGAACCCAAACACATACAAAGACAAATCTCTCCCTTTAAATGTGCTGTCCTTGGTGAAAAAAAAAAAAAAAAAAAAAAAAAAAAACACAGGTAAAGTGCAGTGGATATAAAATTTATGACCAAACTTCAGTTTTATCATTGGCATTAACAAGCATGAAATCATAAACAAAATATCATATGACAAATCTTTTATAATCAGGTATACATGAGAGTTCTCTTGCAGCCCATTTCTTACTCCATCACATGCTTGTACCAGGTTATAACCCAGATTGTCAGATTGTAATTTATCATTTTAATCATTTATCACTTTATAATTTTAGACATGAAATGCAGATCTTTAATATTGATTGTCTAACATATGAAAAAGACTGAAGCTAATGCTTTCATGCATCACCATGAAAATGTATGAGGCCAATTGGTTTCAGTGAAAACTTCAGTGAAAGTGTGACTGCTGATTGCTTAATTAAAAGCAACATTCTTTTTTAAATAATAAAATTAACTTAATATTTTGGTAAATGTATTAAATATATAGAAGATAGTTTGTTTCCTGAACTGAAACAACTGGTTCTTTTACCAATATAAATGAATAATATAAATAATATAAATTAATTTGTTGACTGAATCTAATAATTTTCTTCAGCAGTTTTTCTGTCTCCTCATTCAACAAGATGACGATGCACTACACTGCACTTTGCTAAAAAAATATTGAACAAATGAGGTACCTATCGCTCCCTTCCTACCACACCAACCTCAATGACCTTTAGTGATTTTTGTTATCGTATTTGAAAACTGATACAATCTTACCAACTTTAAACCCCGAGGTCCCTGTATCACTTGACCAAATATATAATCTCAGTTAATATATCCTGAATAACACTGATATAACATTTCATGTTTCTATTGCCTGAAAAAACAAACAATGTAGCATACAGAAACACTGATCGATTCCTTTGAGCAAACTGTGCTTCAACTTAAAAACCAAACATGTTTGCAACCACGAGGCAACCATGAGGCAAATTATCCAATATAAAACATTTAATTTTTGTAGTCAGCAAAAAGGGGGAGAGAGAGACTTGTCTTAGCACATATTTGATCCTTGTTATTAATCTAAATACTTATGAAAAATAAGAAAAAACATTCAGCAATGGAGTGGACTGGAAACAGAAATCAAACAGCCAAAATTTCTGTTTCAGCTGTTAAATTTTGATTTTGGAGCCATGAGAAATAACAGCCCTTGATCAACAATACTGCCAGCTCTTGATGATGCTGGTGTGTTTCCTTGCTTATATCCAGACAAGTGGCTGGCAGAAAATGGTAATCCCCAAAACAAACAGGGTGAACGCCTGGAGGAAAGGACTACCCTGATCTGTCAGGGACTCTTTCTAGTCAAAGTAGCGCCTGAAAAACATTACCACTACTATACCTAGGCTTTGTTGGCAGAGGAATTTACAGAAAACAACTAACATTTAATTGAATGAGAATATTTAGCTGCTTTAGAACCAATTCATTTTATGACACAAAAATAACATTTAAACTTGCTATTTGATTTCAGTGCATGCTCTTACTAAATATACTTATTCTGTAATATATATTTTACTTGCTTATGGTCTTCATTAAAAATTATTTTTCCTATGCACCTTATGCTCTTTCACCTGTTTAGAAATAAAATAACACAACTACAACTGGGCCTTAAATGCAAGGTCAACAAGGTCTGAAGTGTAACTCCCCACAGTATTTTCAGGCAGGTCTGTAAATTCCACTACATGAAGGAGGCACAGACAAGAGTCTGGCAGAGTCACTCAGGGCTGTGCAATCAAATGGCTCACAGAAACCTCTTTGCAGTTATAGTTGAAAACAGCAGTTGTAAAGGAAAGCTTAAGCAACATTTCTCAGAATAATGTTTATATATTCAGATAATTTCCTGAGTAAGACCTCTTACATTTAGTCAAGTTCACTAAACCATGCCAATGAAATTTATTTGCACATCAAGCAAGCAGAGCACAGAGATTTACCTGATGTGGAGAGCTGAAAGGGAAAATTAAAATCAAGTAAAAACTGCCCCTGCATCATCACAATCAAGCACTACATGAATGCAACAAACACTGATGTCTGGAAAGCTCCATTTACCCCCCACCCCGACACACAAAGTGAAAAAAGAGAAAAAGGCGACACACCAGGGAAGGTGGAATACCATAACAACACGTAAAACATATTGTTACACTATTCCACCCACCTTAACTGTGAACCCTTGGGTGTGGCTACTCCATAGCCTTTGGAGTCCAAGTTGCCTCCAACTTTCATTGTATCGCAGGGCTTGCGCTGTTCTGTGTATTCATTCATTGTGGACTCCAGTAGGAAGGCGTATTTTCCTTTCGACTTGCGGACTCGTGCCACCCCTTCAGCCGTGGTTTTGGTGAAGACTGTGGGTTCAGCAGACTTCATGTAGCCCCACATCTTCTCATAGACGGCAATCTTGGAACGCTGTGGATTGTTTAAGGGGGTTGGATGTTCAAAGGTGGTGGAAGAGATTGTGTAAACTCCCGCATCGACATACAGAGAGGGGGCGCTGTTTCCAAATAAATATTTCAGCCTGTAGTTTACTAGAAAATAAACAGCTTTCAGAAAGAGAGGTAATTGATTTGGCCTCATGCAGGATTTGAAAGATACAGAAAGTTGCTGAATAACAATGTCCTTTTTTATTGAAAATAAATTGAACTATTGGAATTTAGTTTCCTATATTAACAAACCGTAACAAACCTCCGACTTTGTCCTTTGTCTGTAAGCACATACTAGTTCCCAAATACCTGACAAACTGCTTTTATTCAGAGGAAGTTGTGCCTTCAGGGATGAGTGTTAAATGAATGTGATGCCTTTTTTATTGCAAATTTATATTAGGTTTTTATAATGTAGAAGAGTTTTAAGACATCTTTAAACCCTGCCGGCAGTGTGGTTGAGTCAGGTAGAGCACAGCATGCTATTATGATGATCTGTGTAAAGAATTTAAAAGTGTTATGCCAGAGGGGGATAACATTTATTAAAATCAGTCTTTGCGTATGTTTTTGAGATGTGGGTTATCACCAGACAGAGAAAACTAGTATATTGAAATAGGAAACAGTAGCCTAAGGCAAGGGAAATAATACTGATAGCAAAACAATATATCTCAATTTAGTGCATACATTGCCGAGATGTTCAGTGACACTGTCACCCGCCCTAAATGAACTCAAAACAACAGCTGCTCCTACAAATTAAACGTAATTTTTTTTTAAATTATTATTTTTATTTGCGAATTTGCAAATTGTGTCTGGGAAAAAACTTAATCCTAAAGGAAAAAGACACTTTTTGTATGACACAAGAACAAAAAAGTTATCTAACTACAACCGATACACAAATAAGACTGCTTGTTCAGCTTTTCAAGTGATTTATCAGAAAATTTGAATCAACCTAAATGCTGAATCACCAACTCACCCTGAAGAATTCTTTGGTTGAACCAGAGTCCAGAGTACCATAGGCAATGTCTGTCTGCTTGGCCAGATCCTCAGCGCTCTCAATTGGGGAAACCATTCTCTCCACCGTGAGGAAAGCAGCCAGGTTTGCCGTGTAGGACGAGATGATGATGAGAGTGAAGAACCACCAAACTCCTCCAACAATTCGTCCCGATAGTGATCTTAGAGAGGGAAAGGAAGGAGGAGACAGAACCGTGCCAGGACAGTGGAGGGGAATAACGAGGTTGGAAAAGATTCAAACAAAGAAGGAAGGAAAGGGTAACAGAAAAGAGGCGTACGGGTGTAGAGCAGCGAAATGATAATTGGGAGTGTTTTTCAACGGTAAAATTAAGATTTAGAGGAAAGGAGAGTGAGATAGAAAGACAGGAAACAGGAAGTCAGTGAAATGGTACAAAATGCTGTGAAGGTATGGAAAGCTGGAATGAGATATGATTAAGTAAAATATGAAGGGTCAACACTTTCAATTGAGATGCTGGTATAAAACCACAAGGTGGAGCTCTGACACAATTTGATGCAAACGGTTCTATTTACCTTTCATTAGTGCAGAGAGGCTAAAAAACAAAAAAGTAGCTTTTGTTAAGAAAGGGAGTATGATGCTCCTTTCCATTTGTCCCCACCCCATATTTGTGTTCATTGGTAAAGAGGAATGAGCTGCAGGTCCCCGGGCTGGCAGGTGAGCACAACTATTCTTTTTTTGAATGAGTGTGTTTTTCCCTCTTTCAATCAAGAAAATCTGATAGTTCACTTCTCAGGATGGTTGTGAGGAGAATTTTAAAGCGTAAATTCTGCACTGAGGAGAACAAACAAAATCTCCCCTTGGTGACAATCAAACAACAAGGGATCCAAATCCCTCAGACTTCCATGCCAGATAGACAGAAACGGAGGAAATGGGTATGTACAACAGCCAGGGTTTTTTCTCCTATTTTATCTCATATTGCAGTCTTTTTAAAGTTCTTTAATATACACAGGAGACAGTTAACAAAAAAATAGCATCCTTTTGTTTAGCTGACTCCACAACAAAATTGTTCTCCAGGTGTCCACCATGTCTCAAATGTATTAGCTCTCAAGATGAAAAGAAATGACAAGTTCCTCTAGCCTCAACCTTGTAAATAAACCCTCTGCCTGAGGGTTTATTTATATGGCTTTTAAACAGACAGAATTTTAATGTTAAAAAAGCTGGAGGGTGTGCCTGATGAGATTTGTGGATGATTTCCATTGTCTTTCGTGTCTTATATCCTTAATTGACCTTTTCTTCCTGCTAAAATAATCTCATTCACAGTATTACTGCTCAGCAGTTTTGGGTGATTTTCAGGCGACGTCATTGATTTGCTTTTTCCCCCCTATACCTCCAAGTATTACCCACTACTAATCCGCTATAATGATAAAATGTTTCTTCAAAACATAACATTCATCCATCCATCCATTATCGTTACCGCTTACTGTCTAACGGGGTCGCGGGGGGAACTGGAGCCTATCCCAGTGGTCAACGGGCGAGAGGCAGGGTACACCCTGGACAGTCCGCCAGTCCATCGCAGGGCCACACACAGGACATACAAGGACAAACAACCACTCACACTCACATTCACTCCTACGGGCAATTTCCCCAATCAGCCTAACATGCAGGTTTTTGGACTGTGGGAGGAAGCCGGAGAACCCGGAGAGAACCCACGCAGAAACAGGGAGAACATGCAAACTCCACCCAGAAGGGTCCTGGTTCCCCCGGGATTCGAACCCAGAACCCTCTTGCTGGGAGGCGACAGTGCTAACCACCACACCCCTTTAGGGTACACCGCCCCCCTGTATAAATATATATTATATTATTATTATTGTTGTTGTTATCTTTAATTGTTGTTGTTATGTTGACTTTAATTTGTGAAAAATACATTTATTTTTGGATAAACTTGTTTGTACTTATTGTACAAAGCTATTTAACCCTTATACTATGTTGAAAAAAAATATATTGATTATGTTGCGGGTCATTTTGACCCGGACTATGTAAATGAATGCCAAACAGTCACAAAAACAGGTGAAACCAGTAAACAATTAACTAATAATGAATGAACCTTTAGAAAAGTGGCATACAATACAATTTTAATAGATAAACACTTTATTTAATAGCTATTTTGTATTCTGCACAGACCCCCCACAACACATCAAAGTGACCAGATTTTACACACAAGTTCATGACCCCAGATGAGGAAAAGTCACCAAATTTCATGAAAACAAACAAAAAAAATGGATAACCAGCACTTTGATCATCACAAAAACTGAAATGGGTCCAATTGAGGGTTAACACATACTATTTTAACACAATATTATGTATTGAGTTTAAATCAGTGTTTGCTAGATTAATTTCACTATTTTCAATTTAATTTTTATATTGCCATGAAGCACTTACGATAATGCATGTTTATTACAACATTTTTATATTTGGGAAATTATTTTAACGGCTACTGTCACCGAAAATAACGTGACTGCAGTTTTTTATGTTGTATTTCAAACGGCTTTTTATGTTGTATTTCAAACTTTCCAAAAGACGTTCTAAAGTTTGCCCACACTTCCCTGCAGTGACGTAATCACGTGCAGTGACCTAATCACGTAATCCAAATGGCAGTGACGTAATCACGCAATCAAAATGGCCGACTGTCTTGGATGGGCGGAGTTGGACGTCCAAAAAGCGCTGCAGCAATATGTACTTGAGACAGTGCGCCAGTCCATAACATTAATTCTTAACCCATTTTATTAAGACGTGGGATGTCATTTATACAATCATCATCACCACTTATTTACTTACTGATTTTTATATATCTATTTATCTCCTTTCTTTTAATAAAAAAGAGCAGTGGAGTGGTAGTTTTTTTACTGAGTTAAATTCGGACAAAACCACCCTGGTGCTTCAAACTATCCTTCATTGTGTATATCTGAATTAGAGTTTAGCCATTCATTAGCACAAATGTATTCATTGCAAAGTTAGAAAAGATTTTAAATTTGAATTGAAACAACCTGAAACCTGAAACCCTGATTTTTTTGGGATGAAACATTAAAATGATGAATACAGTCATTTCTCTGAATCATATCTATTTTTTTCTCGCTGTTAATGCATCCAATGAAAAAACACAAAACAGTCCAACTGTTATTGTGTCTTTACCACTTTAAGCTAGTTTGATTTATGAAATGTATCAATAGTAGAGGTCTCTGCTGACATGACCAATGTTATGTTCTGCTGCATGTCTTGTGTGTTAGGTGTTCTGTTCTATGATTATTTGAATAGCTGGAATGTAGCACATAGTACATCAAAGCATTTCCTTTTCAAAGTCACCTCTTTTCAACATTCATTTGTGACTCAAGCAGGCCTCATCCGTCGCCATCAGGAAAAGTTCCATTAGCATGCATACAACTTGAGCTAATCAGCACAAATTAAGCCAATCAATGACACTATGACTCAGCAGGTGAGACAAAGCTAATCCAACTAAAAATAATTAACTATAAACAGCTGGAACAACCATAAACAATTACACCTGCAAGATAGGTGGCTGCCATGATATTTGTTTTTACATTTATGACCTGTGATATGACATCCAACAGTCTAAGGAGGAAATACCAGAATAAGCCGTGTTATTTATTTTTTTGCGAGGGGGGCCAACGGGGTCGGGTGCAATGTGGAATGGGGGGAAGTCGGAGTCGCGGACCTTGGCGAACTACAGAAGCTGTCTCTAGGGACGTGGAATGTCACCTCTCTGGTGGGGAAGGAGCCTGAGTTGTTGTGCGAGGCAGAGAGATTCCAGCTGGATATAGTCAGTCTCGCCTCGATGTACAGCTCTGGCTCTGGAACCAGGGGTTGGACGCTCTTCTACTCTGGAGTTGCCCCCGGTGAGAGGCGCCGAGCAGGAGTGGGGATACTCATTGCCCCCCATCTCGGTGCCTGTACGGTGGGGTTTACCCCAGTGAACGAGAGGGTAGCATCCTTTCCCCTTCGGGTGGGGGGACAGGTCCTGACTGTTGTTTGTGCCTATGCGCCTAGCGGCAGTACAGAGTACCCGACCTTTTTGGAGTCCTTAGAGGGGGTACTGGAGGGTGCCCCCTCTGGGGACTCCCTTGTTTTGTTGGGGCACTTCAACGCTCATGTGGGCAATGACAGTGAGACCTGGAGGGGCGTGGTTGGGAGGAATGGCCCCCCCAGCTTGAGCTCGAGCGGTGTTTAGTTTTTGGACTTCTGTGCTCGGCACAGATTGTCCATAACGAACACCATGTTCAAGCATAAGAGTGTTCATATGTGCACCTGGCACCAGGACACTCTAGGCCGCAGCTCAATGATTGACTTTGTTGTTGTTTCAGCTGACCTGCGGCTGCATGTTTTGGACACTCGAGTCAAGGGGGGGGGAAGCTTTCCACTGACCACTACCTGGTGGTGAGTTGGCTCCAATGGTGAGGGAGGATGCCGGTGAGAACCGGGAGGCCCAAACGTATTGTGAGGGTCTGCTGGGAGCGCCTGGCGGAGTCCCCTGTTAGGCGGAGCTTTAACTCCCACCTCTGGGAGAGCTTCAAGCACGTTCCGGGGGAGGCGGGGGACATTGAGTCCGAGTGGGCCATGTTCCGCGCCTCCATTAATGACGCTGCCTCCCGGAGCTGCGGTCACAGGGCTGTCGGTGCCTGTTGTGGCGGCAAACCTCGAACCCGCTGGTGGACACCGGCGGTGAGGGATGCCGTCAGGCTGAAGAAAGAGTCCTATCGGGCCTTTTTGACCCGTATGGCCTCGAGGAGATTCTGGTCCACCATCAGGCGTCTCGGGGGGGGAAGCAGTGGCCCACCAACACTGTTTACAGTGGGTGTGGTGTGCTGTTGACCTCAACTCATGATGTTGTGGGTCGGTGGGCGGAGTACTTCGCTTCTGTGGGGGGTGCTCCGGGAGTATGGGGGTACCTGGCCCTTTGTTACGGGCTGTTCGGTCCCTGTACGACCGGAGTCAGAGTTTGGTTCACATTGCCGGTAGTAAGTCGGACCCGTTTCCGGTGGGAGTTGGACTGAGCCAAGGTTGCCCTATGTCTCCGGTCCTGTTCATAACTTTTATGGACAGGATTTCTAGGCGCAGCCGAGGTGTTGAGGGTGTCAGTCTTAGTGGCCTTAGGATCGCATCTCTGCTTTTTGCAGATGATGTGGTCCTGTTGACTCCATCAAGTCGTGACCTACATCTCTCACTGGAGCGGTTCGCAGCCGAGTGCGAAGCAGCTGGGATGAGGATCAGTGCCTCCAACTCCGAGACCATGGTCTCTCACCGGAAAAGGGTAGAGTGCCTTCTCCGGGTCGGAGCGGACGTCCTTCCCCAAGTGGAGGAGTTCAAGTATCTCGGGGTCTTATTCGCGAATGGGGGTAGGGAGCATGAGATCGATAGGCAGATCGGTGCGGCGTCTGCAGTAATGCGGGCGCTGTACCGGTCTGTCAATTTATCGGTCGATCTACGTTCCCACCCTCGTCTATGGTCACAAACTTTGGGTAGTGACTGAAAGAACGAGATCCTGGATACAAGCGGTCGAAATGAGTTTCCTTCGCAGGGTGGCTGGGCTCTCCCTTAGAGATAGGGTGAGAAGCTCGGCCATCTGGGAGGGGCTCAGAGTAGAGCCGCTGCTCCTGCACGTGGAGAGGAGCTAGTTGAGGTGGCTCGGGCATCTGATCAGGATGCCTCCTGGTCGCCTCCCTAGGGAGGTGTTCCGTGCTCGTCCCACCGGGAGAAGGCCCAGGGAAGACCCAGGACACACTGGAGGGACTATGTGTCCTGGCTGGCCTGGGAATGCCTCAGGATCCCCCCGGAGGAGCTGGTGGAAGTGGCAGGGGAGAGGGAAGTCTGGGTTTCCCTGCTTCGGCTGCTGACCCCGCGACCCGACCCCGGATAAGTGGAGGATAATGGATGGATGGAAAAAAAAGTTAACAGTCCATTTTAAATGAGTGCAGTTCAGTACAAATGGGGAAAATTTCCTGATACATTGGAAAAGACAATAACTTCATAATACCTGTAATAATAAAGAATCAGTCTTTTAAAGATGCTTTACAATTTAATATATTATTCATTCACTCCTTTGAGCATCATTCTGTACCAAAAAAGTCCCGCCAGACAACCACAGTCACACTTCACAGTCATAGATAGGCAGGTTGGACTATGAATCTTGCCCAGGGGCACAGTATGCAGTGTGGCGGGGATTCGAACTAGTGACCCTTTGGACGCAGGTCTAATGCCCATGAACGAGAGGTGGCTCAGTTTATATAGATAAAATAAAATAAAATAAAATAAAATAAATGTATTTTCTGCAGAAGTCAAAGGAAAGCTGGAACTTGAAATATTACACATAAATTTTACACAAACAACAACTTGAGACAAAACTAAAATTATAGCAGCACAAGTTTAACCCAGGACTCATGCCAGCATCACTTCCCGTGTGGGAGGGCCCAGTATACCTCCAGGGCAACCCTAGTAGGACAAAAATAATGTTCTTTTTGCCCCAAAAATTAGTTTAACACTGCATATCACCACCTACTTAGTGAGATTAGTGAGTTATTTTATAGCGTATTGGTGGGACAAAATAGAGGCAAACTACATTAACAAACACAGCCAATAGAAGTAACGTGTAGCGAAAGCCTTCAGAGGAATTTAGTGGAGTAAAAAGTATGACTTTATTGTTAAAATGTGAAATTAACAAGTTTTTCTGAAAAAAATACACTCAAGTAAAATAAAAGTTCTCAAAAACTGTACTTAAGTACATTATTCAAGTAAATTTACTTTCTGACTGTCCACCTCTCGCTGGCATCATTGCAAGAGAAAGGGGGCTAAAACATAGACTTTCCACTCTAAAACAATTATCTGCAGGACACAGGCAGAGATGCGGTTATGACGAGTAGAGGGGTGGGGGAACAAAGTACATGCATTCCTTACTGTGCTTAATCATAGTCATAGGCCTACTATTATCTCCTATGGGTTGCTTACGTAAGGCAGGGGCTATCATTTGGAAGGTGATTTAATGTACCTCAGGATCCTCCATCTTGTGAGTTTCCCTGCTCCTCTCTGGTGTGGGTGGGGCTGAAAGATACAGGTTTGGTTGTCCTTTCATATCCCAATATCTTACCAAGTCTATTACAGTACAAGAGTTAAAAGGACTCTAAACAGAAATACTATATCACATACTTTAAATAACTATAAGAGCCATTCTACAAAACTAAAATCATCTTCCTTTCATCTTCACAATCACCCAAGCTAACAAACAGCTAGAACCTTAAGCTTGCTTAAGCCATTCAAGAAAGGCTGGGGGCGCGTTTCGGAGAATGAGAACCTCGGCTAAAAACAGGCTTTAAAAATCTGATCTTTGGTTGCAAAAACAGGGTTGAGAATTAGCACGAACTAGTGCTCTGCTAATTTTCCACCCTCCATGGTGTGCAATGTTCACAAGACACTTACCTAATGGTTTAAACTTTAGGCCTACAATTGAGCAATGGAACGTTTCCAAACGGAAGTCAGAAACATACAACAAACAGATGGACAATCCAAAAACAAAACATGATCTATCTTAAGTTCAAATACAGAAAGGCACAACTGCTGAAGCTGACACACATCAACACTAACTCTTGCACAAGCAGACAACACATGTCAGACAAATATGGCTGAAAAGGAGAGAGACAAAATCAATACCAAAAGACTGTCTCACTGTCCCAATACAAGTATGACATCATAGCTAAAGCCCACAGAGCATGAGCAAAGACTACTACGGAGTACTACTACAGGTAAAACAGATTAAACACTGCTCAAATAACTGCTCATATTACTGCCTTTATATTATGTAAGTGAAACCCAGACACCATGCAAACTCACAGCAAATTAAGTGAATTGTAAACTAATCTGAAGTTGCTAAGATAATGCATTGTCTTTTAAAAAATGTTTACATGTGAGATTTAAGTTACCGACTTTTAATGGTCACCAGAAAAAAGAGCAAAAGTCATGATGAGTGCGACAAATGATTCTGTTCCCCTATCTTTTTTGTCAGTTGTTGCAATGAATGTTCTACTTTTTGTACTGTCAACATATATTTTTAATATTTCATGTTTCATATTTTTTAACTGAGTAGCAAGCAAAACATTTTTGCAATTTTGTTTTTTTTAAGAAAATTCACACTTTCAACTTTGAAGCTATAAGATGTAAAGTTTAGTATTGTCAACACTACTTTCTCAGTGCTTTTTTCATAATGGACACAAATTTTAGTTTACAGGTAGCCCTGGACTCAATTATGGTCTCTTTGAGGTGTGAAGTTTAACCTGTTTATAATTACAGATTACAATGGGCACATATAATTCTATTCTGTAACATCTACAGTCAGTTGTAAGCAAAAAACATGAAGGTTGTTCTGCTCTGTTGTTTAGTTGTTAACATGGTTACAATTGATAGCCAGATTTAGAAAAAGTCTCTCTGTTCATGGTCATTTGTAGCTTTGTAGCTTTCAGTGTTTAGACAACTAGACAACTAGATTTAATCACAATGGTCCGGTTAACAGAAAAGGTCAATTTAAACTTTACTTACAGTGTGTGATTAAATACACACTAATTTCAGTGGCTTAAATTAATACTATGAACTATCAATAAACTCCTCTCACAGCAATCTCTCACTCTTATTTAAAGCTTATTCAAATAGAGTTATAATTACTACGTCTTGTGTTTTGCAAGTTAGAACAACTTGCTGGCAGACAACAGTCAGTTTAAAGACTTCATGCCATTTTTTATTTAGGTTCAAGACAGAAGCAGCCTCTTTGCTCCAGCTAGCTGTCTTGATACTAAACAAGCACAACAAACTCCAGCCACAGACTTAATGAAGTGTAGATATGAGGTTCATGCTAAATACAGTTATACATAATGTCAATATATTCGTTATAAAGAAGATACAATCCTGCCATCAACATACCCATATGGTAAAAATACTGACTTGTATTTTTACCGCCAGGTATGTTTGATTTGATTAACAAATTTTAGTAACCTGCGATTTTTTTCCCCTCTTCCACTCTGTCACAAATGACACACAATGTCACATCAGGCTGGCAGAGCTCATTCAGTTTCAATTTGCATCAGTCAAGCATGTCGAAGGTTCTGCTTGGATTGATATGCAACGGATTTAAGCGCACCACGCTCACACAGAGTGAGCACACAGTCTGACATTATGGCATTTTGTTTTTAAAAGTTGGGCTGGAGTTCATGCAGTGTCCGATGGGATGAAGTTAGTGCCAACTTTGCGGCAAGCACTGAGCATTTCTTATATTCATGAGACAAAGAGAAACTGTTTGATGAAAGTGTCCTACCTGGGAGAGATGTCACAGCCTTGTTGCATGAAAGCACCCAGGGAGAACCAGAGAGAGTTGAAGATGCCAAACTCATTGGGGGGCTGGTCGCTTGGCGGACCGTCGGTGCCCTCTTCGGGCTCCTCGGTGTGCCATTCGTACGGGCTGAAGCGGCTGACCAGGAAGAGCACCACGCTCACGCCGATATAGGCGAACACGATGCACATCCAGATCTCATAGGCCAACGGGTCCAGGAAGGAGAACACCCCTGGCTTTGATTTTTGTGGTTTTTTGATCATGATGGAGATACCCAGTGACATGAAGGGTTTTGAGAAATCAATCACTTCTTCCCGGACCAACGTGATAGTTAAAGGGGCCACAGCGATTTCCGCTTTCTGTGGGAATTTAGACAAAGAGTCATTTTATTAGCCAGTCTGAAAACATCTTTAAAAATTGAAATGTAAATGATGGAATCAGGGAAAAAACATTTAAGCACCATTTAAACACATACTGTGGGACCCATTGCATTATCCAGAATTGTTTCACTTACATAATTTCTATGCTGAACTAAAATCTTAGTGATAAAGTTTATATTGCAACTCAACAAATGTCAGAACAAGTTAAAACAGCAAGAGTAATAAAATACATAAAATGTCCTGTCTAATTAAAAAAACAGCAGAAGCTCTGAGAGAATCTGCACGGATGCCAAAATATCATAATCTGAATATGTCTGTACCAAAGGAAAGAAAACTTTGGATACAGCCACCCCTTTAGGGTACAACTAGCTTGCAATCAGCAAACTAGATTAGTCTGTTTCTTACAACACTTATGACCTTGTCCTTGGCTTGAGAAAAATGGCCTACAATCAGAGAGAATTTAAAGTTTCATTATGGCCATCTGACACTTTTGAAATGGAGAAAAAAGGACCAAGGAACAGGAAATAAAAAAGATTGAAGTTCTGACATTAACAGCAAATTTTACTAAGATGACAGCCTTAGGGCATTTAATGTGTGCCAAAATACACAGTTGGTTAACAAGAAGCCAGTTTTTTTTAAGGCAAGCTAAGAAGAATTAAGTCTTACAAAGAGGGAAAGTGCTGACAGCTTCCATATCCTCAAATGTTCTCATTAACGTTGCTTACAATCTAGATTTAACTAAATATATTTTCATACGCAAACTGATATAATCTGATATTTGTTATCTATCAATCTGCTTTACCTACTTTTGAGCTGTTTGTTGAAACATACAGTGCTAAAGTAAAGAGCATTGGGAATGAATTCCCAATGCTCTTCACTTTAGCATTCAATTAATGTATAAATATGGAAAATCCAGTAATCAGCCCCAGACACCATGAAAAACAATATTTGAGACATTCCATATTTAAACTAAATGAGAGTGGTAGGTAGTGGAAAATTAAATGTTTTAGATAAGACTAAGGTAATCAGGCTAAGAAGTGAGAAACAGTGAGTACTGTGCGTACAAACAAACTAGAAGAGGGCACAGTGCTTGTCTGTAAACCTAAAGTTTTTGTGGATGTTTAAAATTATGTGTCTCCTGAAAGATGCGAATAAAAATGAAGAGGAACCAGTCTAAACTGACGTTCGTACCCCGTACACCAGCTCCCCGACCATGCCGTTCCATATCTTCGTCTCTGGGTCCCTGGCGCCATACTTTCCATCTGGGACGATGGAGATCTTGTACTTGATTCCAATGTGTTTGGCAATCTCTGAGGCCAGGTCCACACAGTAACCTTCATACTGGTCATTTCCTTCGTACATCTCCCAGTTCTTCTTTAACATCACATAAGGACCCTCCTACACAAAGGACCATAACAATTTATTTTCTACTTAAATTGAAATCACTTCACAATTTGTCAAAAAAATACGCATTTACAAACAAACTCAGTTACCATGGAAGGTGCTTTTCTGGCAACTTTAAGCAATTTGTGCATCAGTGTCTCACTGAAGGACACTTAAACATATGGAGAGATGGAGCTGAGGTACACTCCCCCAACGAGCGATGACAATGATATCATCCTATAGATACACAGCAGCATGAAATTTAAACCACTAGAAAATTTGGATGATCAAGAAAAGTTTCTGTAAACTTTATCAGACTAATAGAATAAAAATATCCCCACTATGCAACTCAAATCTCTCAAGTTTTACTCTTTGCAGCTGCCATCCAAGACAATTAAAGAGGCATGAAAATGTTCAGTAGACTTTAAAAATGTTCTTTTCTCTGACTCCATAGAGAAAGGAAGATGCAGTGCATATGATTTAGTGTTAATGAAAACACTTGAGCTCATGAGTACCATGTTGACAGTGTCGTAATATATACAAAATACATAAAACATAATGATGATGCAAAGAGGCTACAAAAAGGGCAAGCCAAAAAACATGACAAGCAGAAATGGATGCAGACATAAAGTCATAGGAAGTGAGAAATTAGGTTCAGTCAGGGTAGAGGACTTATTACCAAAAAATAATCCTAAATCCACTTGAAGTAATCAGGGTTGGTTGCATCCATCATTATCGTAACCACTTATTCCGTAATGTTGTTGTCACGAGGGGTGGAGACAAATCCAGAAGTCAATGGGGAGAGGCAAGTCCATCACAGGGCCACACAAGGAAGACAGCCACTCACACTCATTCCTAAGGGTAATTTGGAATGTCCTCCCCTAACGATGGGAGGAAGCCAGAAAACCCAGAGATAACCCATACAGACACAGGGAGAAGACACAAACTCCACACAGAAAGGTCCTCGTTCCCCCGGGGACTCGAACCCAGCAACACTCTTGCTCTGAGGTGATGGTGCTAACCACTGTGCCACCCAGATTGATGTGCCACCTGGATTGATGACCACAAACCAATATATTTTTTCTAAAATCACAACACAGTGTATGCATGAAATACTGAAATATAAATGTAAAAGTACTTAAGTTAAAGTTATGGTCACATTTTAGCTAAAACCAGTGAAATAAGCATTTCTGATCATGATTGCTGTATTTTGACACAACGTATTTCAACTGCACAACCGTTGTGTTCTGAATTAACATTTAGCAATGCAGCAGGTTAAACCAGGCATTTTTATTCTCTCCCCACTGAGGTGTCTTTGCTTCACCTTGCTTTGCCCCAGAGCAATGTCATACAAACGCAGCTCAGCAATAAATTGTTCCTGTTATATGCTGCCTTGCGTGACAAAAGTAATTTGTTTGGAAACATGAGCACATTTTCAGTTTTAGCTTGTAAAAGTGTTAGGTGCAATGTGTCATTGCTGATGTTTTTTATGTACAAATTGTGATCCAAATGCTCTGAATAAGGACAAGAGGAAGGATGCACCATGCAACTGTAGATCTATGTCAACAGGGTCCATCGTTGTCTAGAAAACCATTCATTGTCTTTGTGAAAAGATTTCCAAAGCATTGTGAAAAATTATGTTTCGACACAACCAGAAACAAAATCTAATAAACGGTTCAAAATGTTGTTCAGGGATGAAAAATAGCTTTTCAAAGTGGTTGAAAAACAGTAGGTGAGTTATGTCCACTTAGGCTTGTAAATATTCAGGTTAGCTAAATCTATTCCTAAAATGAAAAGTTACTGTTAACTCTAACATTAAACAAATGTCAAGAACTGCCTTCTTTCACCTACGTAATATTGCAAAAATCAGGAGCATCCTGTGTAAAAATGATGCAGAAAAACTATTCCACGTATTTGTTACTTCTAGGCTGGATTACTGCAATTCCCTATTATCAGGCTCTTCAAAAAAGTCCATTAAGACTCTTCAGCTGATCCAGAATGCTGCAGCACATGTTCTGACAGGAACCAGTAATAGAGATCATATTTCTCCTGTCTTGGCTTCTCTGCACTGGCTTCCTGTTAAATTCAGAATAGAATTTAAAATCCTTCTCCTTACGTATAAAGCTCTTCATGGTCAGGCCCCATTTTTTCTTAAAGATCTCATAGTACCTTACTGCCCTACCAGAGCACTGCACTCCCAGAATGCAGGGTTACTTGCAGTTCCTAGTCTTGAGAAGTAGAATGGGAGCCAGAGCGTTCAGCTATCAGATTCCTCTTTTGTGGAACCAGGTTCTAGTTTGGATCCAGGAGGCAGACACCGTCTCTATATTTAAGAGTAGGCTTAAGACTTTCCTTTATGATAGAGTTTATAGTTAGGGTAAGTCCACCCCAAGTTATTCTGCTATAGGCCTAGACTGCCGGGGGATTTCCCATGATGCACCGAGCTCCCCTCTCCTTTCTCTCTCTCCCTTCCAGTGCAACCTCATTCCATTAAAAATTTTAGTAACTGGACTCTCTTCCTTTCCCGTAGTTGTGTGCTTTCTCGTCCCCCTCCTCTCTCCTCCTATCACTTTCTGCAGATTTTCCTGGCTCTGGAGCTGTGGAAGCTGGATCTGTGATTGGGAGTTTACTGCTGTCCCCGTTGTCCTACTCTTCTACAATTACAGCCACTGTTCATAGTCTTATTGCTATCATTACTGCTATCATTATCACTGCTATCATTATCATTAGTATCAATATCATTGCCATTTTTTCATCCAGTCTATGTGTTACTGTGGAGGCTACCTCTCTCTGTTCCCTCTGTCTTCAGACAGAAAGTATAAGTTTAACCTAGGCTGAAAGTAGAAAGTAGATAGTTGCACCCCAGACTGGTGCTAATGGAAAATCCCCAGAGATGTACACATTCAGGTCTAAAAAAAATCTACAAAGTAAAGCACGGTAAATGCTAGCAATTCTAAAAAATCAGTTCGCTTTTAGCATACTGCTGACAGCAATATCAAAAAGAGTTGACTTGGTTCACAGAATGATAGAGGCAAACCAATGACTGAACATCTCTCCTAAAACATTGTGTAATTGTTTGGCTGGACTATTAAGTAAAGGACAAACATTTTATATAATTAGTCGTTATCCTCCCATGACATTGGTAACTAATCCAATTAATAAGCAGCATTTCAAGTAAAACGTATCCTCTGACAAATCTCATCAGTACAGAGAGTGAAAAAATGTGCAGCATGACATGCATATAAATAATTCTCAACAATCACAAGTGCAGGGGTATGACATTGCAGACAACCAGAGGGATGGAATGTTGGCAAAAAAGGATGCAGTCAGTGTTTTTGGCATGAGAAATGAGAATTGCTTTAGAGGTCTTCCCAGCAAAGGCCAGCATGGCTGACAGGCTGGTCAATAATCACAACCACCCTGCTTCACTCACTGCCTAATGAGACTAATTAAACATGCCATTAAAAACATACACTCAATAGGGCCAACTTGCTACAAATCCATGTGTAAACCCACATTGGTAACCACACGGGAGCTGTGTTTTCAGTATAAAATTTGCCAGTTTTGTTCAGTGCACAAGTGCATTATGCAAGATAAGCAATCTCATTCTGTTTGATGATGAGTGGTAACAAGCACCAGATGGAAGGTCCATTGCAAACTGTGTGATGAAGCCAACACAAGTGTCTTGCTCATCGACATTCACTTGAGGCATTATTCCAATTTGTGACGTATGCTGGAAAAGGAGCACATTCAAAGCTCACATGGGAACAATTTGTAAATGTTTTATGTGCTTCTTTTTATTTCAAATTGAGACCACACAATTAGCAGGTGTAGTGGGATGTCTTGGCCTTCAGAAGTATTTATATTCACTGCAGTGCCTCATCAATGTCAGCAAATATTACAGCTAAGCCTCAACACTTTTTAAAAAGTTAATGTTAGTGAGTTAATGTTAGATTTACAACAGGAAAGCAAAATAATATTTTCACATGTACTTAAAAAACAACAATAAAAGAATGTACCCAATCAAAAAATGTATTTTACATGGGCCTGATTTATTTAATCTCACATGAAGTTTTAAAATTCCATCAGTTAATTTTAGATTAGAAGTTTTTACATTTTTGCCATTTTTACCAAGCCCATATGATAGGAAGCAAGGGCTGAGGTTTGGGAAATTCAAAATTCAGTTGTGCAAATCTACAGGTCAGCCATGACATGCAGTTAGTGCATCTCATACAGAAAGGCTTTAAATAAATAGGTTATCATTGATGCAAAATAAACTTTCACTTCAACTGTTCTTATCATACATAGCAATGCCTCTTAACTACAAAATATTTTGTCTAATTTTTTTTCTTTTTGGCTAATTTTCTATAACTGGCTGTCTCTGTGTGCATGCAAATGTCTGGTAATGTACAAAAGAAACATCAGAGTGTTTTAAAATGAGTCAGAATCCCATTGTTGCGTTTGGGAGCAATGATGCAGCCTCTGCAATCAGACGTGTGTCAGTGATCTCCAGGTAAATCCTCAGCGGTGATGACTTTATACTAGCAACTACACTGCTCCAGATATAGAATTTATTCCTGAACCAGTGAACAAGTATCTACTACTCGAACCTGACTAAGTGGTGCTGAAAGTTAGCCGTTTTCGGAAGTTTTTCTTTTGTTTTGTTGTCGGCTTAAGAGAGTCCTCTCACCTGGGGAAGATGGCGGCTGATCAAGATAAACTAACATTGAAATCCCTGACGAAGGCTATCCGTGAATCGAAAGAGGAGCTCACTGGGCATCTAAATAAAAAAACGGATTACATCCAACAATTAGTCCGTGGGCCAGAATCTGTACGACGTCTCCTTAAGCAATTCCATTTGAACTTTTAGGGGGCAACTTTCTTTCACTTGGATAAGTTGCTAGAGACTAGAGTGATCTTAAAACGCCAATGTTCCCACCCTTTCACTTGCACATTAATAAGTTATAGTCGATTAAAAATATAATTTTTCGCCGTAATCTAAGAAATCGCGAGATCCGAGTTTTGCTTATCAGCCAATCAGATGGCTGAATCTCAGCGCGAGAGCTCGGTTATTTAAATATGGCAGCGCCTGTGAAATGTTTTTTGCACTTGTTTCAATACGAAGAACGTCCAATTATTTCATTTTCTGGTGCCGGTTGGCGGCGATTTATTGAAAGTTGCAAGTCCTGGATAGACCTGGATGGCAGGAAGAAACAAATAGCCGAAACGTTCTCTCAGTACACAGTTGAGTCGCCGGGACCCGCTGAGCTGGGGAACCGTAGGAAGTGCTACTCGAAGTACACGGACAAAACAAAAATTGGGAGAGCAAGTAAACGTGTTGTACGCGAACGAACCCAAAGCAATCTTTGCTGTCATCGCGAAAGAAGCTTATACCAGACTTCTACTTCATGCAAAGCATGCTTATTTGGAATATAAAGATATTGTTATCTTGAGCCCAGACACTGATGTCATGGTCTTGGCTTTGGGTTGTGTGCATTGTTTTGAGAGTATTATCTATTTTAAGACAGGGACTGGCAACAAAACTCGTATTGTTAATATTTCTCATCTAGCAAGTCTTCATGGTCCAAGGAAAGGTCTAGCTTTTGTTGGTATTCATGCTTTTACTGGATGTGACATGTTAAGTGCCTTTAAAGGGAAAGGAAAAGTTAAAGCCTTAAGTCTGATGCTTGAATCAGAGCCAGCTGTTAATTGCTTTCAAATTCTTGGGAAAAATTGCGATGTTGATGATAAATTGTTCATTCAGCTTGAAGAATTTGTCTGTCACTTTTATGGACAGAAAAACTGGGTTAATGATGCCAGGTTTAAAATGTTCTCTTCTCTGTAAATCAGATAAATCTTTTCCACCAAATGATGTTTGTCTTTGACAACATTCTAAGCGAGCTGCATACCAGCTAGCAATTTATAGAAGGTGTTTCAACCAGTTTATAAACGCCCCTAACCCAGAAGGCCATGGCTGGTCCTTTGAAGATGGAGAGCTCTCCTACTGTTGGATGGTAAATCCCCCAGCTCCATCTGATGTCACCATGGACATGTCTTGCAAGTGCAAGACAAATGCATGTGCTACACAAATCTGTCTATGCAAAAGGGCTCATTTGCCATGTAGTGACCTCTGCCAATGTGTTAACTGTGCAAACTGTCCTGCTATGATTGAAAATGAGAATGATTATCAAATGATAATGAGGACTTGGATGACTCAGATGATGAGTTGTGATGTTTTTCATATATGTTGTAAGTTTTTGATGAAAATATAAAAGATATAAATATGTGAGGTCTGGATTTAAATAATATGATGTAAATATGATATGTTTGGATTTAAATAGTATGATGTCGTGAGGAAAGGTTAAGAAAGAAATAATATAACTGTAAATATGAGGGGTTCAGATTTTTATATTAGACATAAATATGGATCCTTAGTTTTCATTGACAGTGAAAATGATATATTATTCAATTTTTTATACCAAGGTTTACTTGTGATAGTAGTTTTTTTCTCTCATTAAGTTAATAAATGCAATATGATGGAAAGTGAAGTGTCAGTTTTTCAATAATTAAATTAGTAAGAAATTATTGGACCAAAAACAAGGGTTTTGCATATTAAATTATTGTTTTTTGTCTTGCTATGGCTGTATAAAGTGGAAAATATGTAGTATTCAGGTTCAGGGGCCCCCTGGCAGCGAAAATAGAAACTAAAGGTCTAAATTGCATTTCCATGTTGATTCCATCAGTATTTGCATAAAAAAACTTTTCTAATGATCAACCTTAATGATTTTAAAGTATTTTTGGTAAAGATCACTTGGTTAAAACCAAAAATATGGAGATTTTCTTAGTTTTAGCCACCTATAGGCCAGATGTGGAACTACCGAAATTTTAATTGGCCGTAATTAATTAATGTGCAAGTGAAAACGCGGGAACATTGGCTTTTTGAGATCACTGAAGTCCAAGGTATCTAACTAAACTGGAAGAAAGTTGCCCCCAAAAAGTTCAAACGGAAAGTCATCGTACAGATTCTGGCCCACGGACTAAATCGCTTACTAAAATTGAACAGTCAATGTCAGCGCTGGCTGAACAGGTACAGGAAATGGAAACCAGAATTGGAGCTAACGAAGACAACCTCTCTGATGCTCAAGCTCGCATACTTAAAATGGAGAAGGAAATAACTTTCCTGAAGGAGAAAACAGACGACTTGGAAAACCGGAGCAGGAGATCAAATGTCACAATTATAAACATCCCAGAAAAGTCCGAAGGTACCGACATGATTGGTTTCGTGGAACGACTAATCCCACGGCTTCTCGGGGAGGAACACTTCCCAACCCCGGCTACCATCGAGAGGGCACACCGCCTGGGGCGAGCGTCGGAGCGGACCAGACCTATTCTCGTGAAATTTCTGAACTTCAGGGATAAAGACAAAGTACTCCGTTTGGCCAGGGAGAAGAGGACGGTACAGTTGGATAATAATCGAATCTCATTCTACCCAGATTACAGCGTCGAGGTGCAACGCAAAATGCTCGCCTTCAATGAAGTGAAGAAAAAACTCCGGGAGAAAAATATAGAATATGCCACCCGCTACCCTGCTAAACTGAGGATCCGACATGGAGGAGGATTTAAACTTTTTTCAGCCCCATCTGAAGTGGAGACTTTTCTGTCCACTGTTCAGGAGGAGGGATAGAACATTCTCTTGCGAGATGACCGCACACCATGACTATTAAGGTAAAACAAAGTTACATAAGTTAATTCATAAGTACTGGCTGGCCTTTAAAGGTTACGGTCAGACACACTTGATCCTGGGAACACCACAGGTACGTTAAGTAGATTTTGTTGAATATTGTTAATATAGTTCTGTAAGGTTTTCTTTTTGCTGGAGCAATCGTATCGTTTCCCTTTAAAAAAAAAAGGGTTCTCTGCTGGGGATGCCACAATTGTTTAGAATTGGAGTTTATCCCACAGTTTGTTTTCTTTTTTTTTTTTCGTTTATTGGGGGTTAAAGTGTGGGTTTTCTTTTTTCTTTTTTTATTGTTATTGGGATATGTGGGGCACTCTCTCTATGGGGTTCATTCTGTGAATATTGAAAACTGTAAACTTATGACAAAGGGTCAGAGATTTCTTTATTTTTTCCAAGTTATGTGCATTTTATGTTGTCACTTAACTAGAATATTTTTTCACATTACTTAAATTGAGTAGGACAGGACTACTAAACTGTATTTCATTGAATGTTAGAGGGATTAACAACCCCATTAAAAGGAAGAAAGTTTTAACATACCTTAAGAAACAAAGCACAGACATCGCTTTTATTCAAGAGACCCATCTCACAGATATAGAGCACTCAAAGTTGCGCAGAGACTGGGTTGGTCATGCATTTTACTCTTCCTTCTCATCCAAAGCTAGAGGTGTAGCCTTGCTTGTTAATAAAAATCTCAGATTTAGGCTAAATTATATGGAGAATGACAGATTCGGCAGATTAATTTTGGTGGATTGTGTAATAAATACAAACAGGGTAGTACTTGTATCTTTGTATGGCCCAAATTTAGACAACCCAGAATTTTTTAAAGATTTAGTTCTAAAACTGGCAGTGATTGAAGCTCCATGTATATTAGGAGGTGATTACAACCTGGTTCTTAATCCATCAATGGATCGCTCCTCTCCTAAACTTGTTGCACAGTCCAGATCCGCGGTTGCTCTGGCTCAGGGCATGAAAGAATTAGGATTAGAGGATGTATGGCGTTTACGTAATCCAACTAGCAAAGACTACTCATTTTACTCCAATGTCCACAACACTTATTCAAGAATAGACATGTTTTTAACCTCGCTCCCACTTTTGTCACAAATTAAAACCTGTTCTTATTTAGCAGCTACGATTTCAGATCATAACCCCATACAAATTAAGTTAGAATTTCACCAACCTGTTTTCTCTTCTCCTAGATGGAGATTCAGAGTATATCTTCTTAGAGACCCAGAATTTGTCACTTTCATGAATACCAAAATCGATATATATCTAGAAGTAAACTTAAATACCTCCTCACATGCAAATATATGGGAAGCGCTCAAAGCTTATATGAGGGGGCATATTATTTCATATGTTTCACATAAAAGCAAACAAAGGAAGGAACAGCTTTCTCAAATAGAAAAAGATATAAGGACTTTGGAAATTGACCATTCAAGAACAAAACGCCCAGAATTACTTAGTGCTTTAAAACAAAAACGGATTTTATATGACAACCTGTGTACAAATAAAGCTGAGGCAGCAATGGCTAGAACAAAATATCATTACTACGAATTTGGCAATAAAACAAGCAAACTACTGGCGTGGCAGATAAAAAAAGAGGACAATGAAAAATTTATTCAGAGTATTAAAACGGATGATGGTAGACATTTAGAAAATACAAAAGACATAAATTTGGAATTTAGAAAATATTATCAATCGTTATATAAATCTGAGCTTCATAAAGACAGTGTAGATATAAATTTTTTTTTGAATCAGTTACATTTACCCGAGATAAATGCAGCCGACAAAGACATATTGGAAGGTGAAGTAAGTGAGGAAGAGGTTCACCTTGCTGTTAAATCATTACAAAATAATAAAACCCCAGGGCCAGATGGCTTTCCAATTGAATATTTTAAAACTTTTTCAAATAAATTATTAACCCCCCTTACAAGTATGATTAAGGAGGCTTTCCAAAAGACAATACTCCCTCAATCTTTAGAACTTGCAACAATAACATTGCTTCCAAAACCTGGAAAAGATGTACAAAAGTGTGGTAATTATAGACCCTTGAGCCTTCTCAATTCTGACTATAAAATCTTGTCAAAAATAATAGCATCTAGACTGGAGAAAATAATCCCCAAAATTATTCATGCAGACCAAACAGGTTTTGTTAAGAACCGACAGGGAGCGGACAATATTCAGAGGTTGTTTCATGTTATTGATATTGCTAAAAGACAGAGGTACCCCCTAGTAGTGCTTTCTATGGATGCTGAGAAGGCGTTTGACAGAATTGAACCTGATTTTCTCTTCGAGACTCTGAGAGCTATGAATTTTGGTGAAACCTTTATTAGATATGTAAGAACACTCTTCAATAGCCCTAGATCACAGATCTTGACCAATGGGGTTCTGTCGGACGCCTTCTCGCTCTCCCGAGGCTGTAGGCAGGGCTGCCCAAGTTCTCCTAGCCTATTTTCCATTGCTATAGAACCATTAGCAATTGCTATCCGTTCTGACTCATCTATTACAGGTATAAATGTAAGTACAGAAGAACATAAACTTGCGTTGTATGCAGATGATCTGTTAGTATTCATATCTCAACCGTCTAAATCCTTTCCATCGTTACTGACATGCCTTGGGACATACAGTGCAGTCTCTGGCTACAAAATCAACTACTCCAAAAGTGAAGCGTTTCCACTTAATATGACAGAACAGGAGATACAATTGCTGCCTGGTTCATTTAAATGGTGCATAGATGGTTTTACATACCTTGGCATTAATATTAGTTCCTCGTATGATCAAATTTACAGAAAGAATTACACAACATTACTTAATAAAACCAAAGCAGAGCTGGAGCGATGGATGGATCTCCCACTGTCTTTGATTGGCAGAGTTAATTCAATTAAAATGTCCATATTACCTAAATTTATTTACCTATTTCAATGTGTCCCCTTAAAAGTCCCAATGACATTTTTTAAAGATTTGGATAAAGCAATATCTCTATTTTTATGGCAAAAGAAGGTCCCAAGAGTTGAACTTCTCACTTTGCAGGCTCCCTATGCTAAAGGTGGGCTAAATCTTCCAAATTTCAGAATATATTACCTGGCCTCCCAATTCCGTACTTTATGGATGTGGATTTACTCAAATGGCAACGATATGAGGTGGGTCTCGATAGAACAAGAATTAAAATCTTTCTCGTTAGCAATCATCCCCCTTTTGAGTTCAAAAAAGCAACTTTCTACAATGACATCAAATCCTTTAATTTTAACTACCTACAATGCATGGCTTCAGTTACACACTCTCTTGAACATTAAGATACAACTGTCGGGTAACACACCACGTAAGGATAACCCCAGCATCCCCCAGCCTATAGCACATGGTATATTACAAACTTGGGTCAGAAAAGGTATTAGGTCAGTTGGCAACCTTTATATCAATAATGTCTTTGCCAGCTTTGATCAACTATCTGAATTTTATGACTTGCATAGGCACAATTATTTCAAATACTTGCAGATCCGACATTGGATTAAGAGCCAAACAGTAGAAGTATTTCCAAATAAACCAGAGGAAACTCTGCTTGAATCGTGCTTATTAGATCCTAAACGTACCACTACAAAAGGACTTATTTCATGTGTTTACAAAATTGTTCTTGACTCTTCACCAGCTTATGACAAATACTCGAAAAAATCTAAATGGGAGTTGGACTTAAACTGCAACTATGATGACAATAGCTGGAACAGATTACTAAACTCATCTCAAACCATATTAACATCAACAAAACATAGGCAAATTCAATTTAATATCCTTCACCGCATATACTATACCCCATATAGGTTGAATAAGCTGAATGCTAGTATCACTGACAAATGCCAACGGTGTAGGATATCTGTAGGGGATCTTCTTCATATGCTTTGGAATTGTGCACGCTTGCAAACCTACTGGAATAATGTAATTCAGGTAACATCATCAGTTTGCGGGCTTTCTTTAGAACCTGACCCGAAGATCTGGATACTTGGAGATGTTATGTCTTTGAAATTAAATTCTTGTAAGAAATACTTTGTTTTGTTAGCATCATCTGCAGCAAAAAAGTGTATACTTAAAAATTGGAAATCTATGGAGCCCCCAAACCAGAAACACTGGATCAACGAACTGTTGTCGTACTGCACTCCTGAAAAAATTCTCCATTCAGTGCGGGGGACGTTGACTAAGTACGACCGGATATGGACTCCCTTCCTGGACACTCTAACTACCCTAGACCTGAGAGACTGAACTGGATTGATCTTTATTGACTTGTTTAATTCCTCTAATATTATTTTTTTTGTTGTATCCTTTACTACTTATCCTGGCCTTTCAAAAATATGGATAGTGCTAAATGTAACGTTATTAAGTGTGTTGATACATAGAGAGAGTGGGCGGGGTGGGTGTATTTCTTATTATTTTTTATTTTATTTTTATTTTTTCTTTCGGGGGGGTGGGGGGGTTGAAAAAGAAAAAAATTAATAGTGTACCGTGGATGTAGATGTTGTATGGACATACATTCTGAATAAATATATATATATAAAAAAAAAGAATCCCATTGTTGCCCTATGTTTATCTGATAGCAAATTCAGATAAAACACATGTAAGGGCCATGACTGGAAAAATATTCCAATTATCTATAGAGTTACAAAAGAACTTCAGAAGCTAAAATCTAACGTTTTACATTCTCTTTCTGATCCAATTATCACATGTAATAGTGATAAAAAAGAGTTTATGGAACAAGAATATATCCTAACCTTACATTTTGTCATACAGCAGAAAAAAACATTAGTACAGATACACTATATTGCCAAAAGTATTTGCTCACCCATCCAAATTATCGGAATCAGGTGTTCCAATCACTTCCATGGCCACAGGTGTATAAATTCAAGCACCTAGGCATGCAGACTGTTTTTACAAACATTTGTGAAAGAATGGGTCGCTCTCAGGAGCTCAGTGAATTCCAGCGTGGAACTGTGATAGGATGCCACCTGTGCAACAAATCCAGTCGTGAAATTTCCTCGCTCCTAAATATTCCACAGTCAACTGTCAGCTGTATTATAAGAAAATGGAAGTGTTTGGGAACGACAGCAACTCAGCCACGAAGTGGTAGGCCACGTAAACTGACGGAGCGGGGTCAGCGGATGCTGACGCGCATAGTGCGAAGAGGTCGCCAACTTTCTGCAGAGTCAATCACTACAGACCTCCAAACTTCATGTGGCCTTCAGATTAGCTCAAGAACAGTGCGCAGAGAGCTTCATGGAATGGGTTTCCATGGTCGAGCAGCTGCATCCAAGCCATACATCACCAAGTGCAATGCAAAGCGTCGGATGCGGTGGTGTAAAGCACGCCGCCACTGGACTCTAGAGCAGTGGAGACGCGTTCTCTGGAGTGACGAATCGCGCTTCTCCATCTGGCAATCTGATGGACGGGTCTGGGTTTGGCGGTTGCCAGGAGAACGGTACTTGTCTGACTGCATTGTGCCAAGTGTAAAGTTTGGTGGAGGGGGGATTATGGTGTGGGGTTGTTTTTCAGGAGCTGGGCTTGGCCCCTTAGTTCCAGTGAAAGGAACTCTGAATGCTTCAGCATACCAAGACATTTTGGACAATTCCATGCTCCCAACTTTGTGGGAACAGTTTGGAGCTGGCCCCTTCCTCTTCCAACATGACTGTGCACCAGTGCACAAAGCAAGGTCCATAAAGACATGGATGACAGAGTCTGGTGTGGATGAACTTGACTGGCCTGCACAGAGTCCTGACCTCAACCCGATAGAACACCTTTGGGATGAATTAGAGCGGAGACTGAGAGCCAGGCCTTCTCGTCCAACATCAGTGTGCGACCTCACAAATGCGCTTCTGGAAGAATGGTCAAAAATTCCCATAAACACACTCCTAAACCTTGTGGACAGCCTTCCCAGAAGAGTTGAAGCTGTTCTAGCTGCAAAGGGTGGACCGACGTCATATTGAACCCTATGGATTAGGAACGGGATGTCACTTAAGCTCATATGTGAGTCAAGGCAGGTGAGCAAATACTTTTGGCAATATAGTGTACATTTGTACTTGAGTCAAAGAGAAAATCCCTAAAGGTTCTCTTAAATGACCAATTTCATGGAAATGTGAACATAAATGTGTTACTAGTCTTATCACTGGCATTAAAACATTTTATGTTTCGGAGTGTTTGTCTGTGGTGCTCTGCATGACGAAATCATCTTCCCTCTCAGCAAGATGGATTGTATCCTTTTGGGTACCACAGTGGTGCCAGTCAACAAAACTAAATATTTAGTCATTGTCCAGAATACTGTGAACAGTCTTTGCCCTGGGGCAGATTGATCATGTGCCAGATTTAAAGTGCAGTGGAGGAGTTTAACATCAACATCCTCCATCAACAAGCTCCATCAAAGCTTCCAGCTTTGTCAATATAATGACAGTCAAACTTGTTTCTTGTCCATCTCTGTTCATTACATACCAGACAGATATAGCCAAAGGCTTCCATGCTGTTTGTTATCTCCTGATGCTTTTGGCTTAAAGAAAAATAAAATATCTATTCAGAGAAAGAAACCATACTGTGGGAACACAGTTTAATTTTTAGTCAGGTAAGGACTTCTATGCTTTTCCAGTATACAATGTGAAAAACAGGTTAAAAAATGGATGTCACGTAGGCTGCTTGGATGTAATAAAACACTGGAATATCTTGTTGAGCTTGCAGCAAACACTAACATTCTGATCCAACATAACCAGAATGTTGGTGGATTTGAACTGCGATGATTATAAGAGCATTAACCCATTTAAGGCTTAGAGGAAGTCATCTGAGTGTGTGAAATACTGTACGACAGAGTAGCCATAAAAAAAGTGACAGGTTTAAAGTGAAAAGGAATTGATTTGCTTTATGGTTCAGCATCCATCAATCTTTATGAAACATCCCTTTATGAAAAAACTATATGAAAAGCTGCAATTTTCCACATAAACACACAGGCCATGACAATGTATGACTTCAACACAAACCGCTATATACAGGTGTTGTGAGAGCTTGTTTGTAGACGCAGTTCGTGAGTCATTTTTAAGAGTAGGGGACCCATTTCAGCCTCAAAATATGTTAATCCATGAGCACCATACTTTAAAACAGACTTCTCCTTCCATTTGCATTTCTTCATCCTCTCGAGGGGCTTCATTATGACTCTGATTTTCTCCATTTCTTGCTTAGATTTCTAAACAGTGTCCTTTGAAAAGCTGATATGCCTTTCCTCCTGCCCAATGTCTTTTGGGCATCATTTGGCTCTGACTGTTGTGTCCATCACTCTGTCATAATGGGCTTTCATATCCTGCTTGTGTCGAACTGGGGATCAGTTTCTTAAAATGGGGTTCCTCATCAGGGGCTGAAAAGAGGGAGGATTGTGCTGAGTGATGACTAACCATTCCCTTCTTCCACTCTGTTGCTATATGTATGGTCAACGTCTGGCTACTTTACCCAGGTCAGCCATCTCAGAGTCATTGTTATATGCCATGAAAAGGTAATATAGTGTGTCAGTTGCTTTGAATTTTATATATGTTTGAGGTAATCTAACAAGTCCTGGACTATAATAATAATAATAATAATAATAATAATAATAATTAGAACTGATTAATAACTGCAGATGTTTTATATTTAAAGTAGAAAAACTGAAACAAATGCTGACTGACTTAAGTTAATATTGGAGAAATTAGGACAAATTCTGTTTGCGTGAATTCCTTTGTTGAAGATTTTATCAAGGCATTTTATCCCCAATTCTCATGAGTCAATGCACACAATAACTTGGCTTGAAAATACTGTAAAAACTTAAATCCTGAAGATTCAAAATACATTTAAAAAAAACATAATCTGTATGCAACTGATGATTTACCAATAGAAGATTATAACTGATTAAATAAAAGTTCTTTCCCTCAATAAAATCACATATTGTCAAGTGCCTTAAAGAACATTGGAGTTTCAGAAATTATTTTATTAGTACAGTGGACAACTTTACTTTTATGTATATAATTATTATGTACTCATTTTAATATCTATTCAAATTGGCCATCATTTAATTTGAACTTTGGTTTTAAAAGTTGAAGATAAGTCTTAAGTATGTGTATAATGTGTATAATGTCCTACATTTGGGTCAATTAAATTTACTGGGTATATGATGGTGATGCATCCTGTCATTACAAATTACTGCACATATTATTGCCACATGCATGAGTGTGTGTTCATGAGTATGTGCCACTTTCTTACCATGATGGTAGTCACAATAACTGTGCGGTTTTCCATGCCAGAGGTGTCATTTGGATGTAATGGAGAGTCTTGGATTAGCACCAGTTTGTCTGCATCGTTCCAATAGCCAATCTGCAGGGAAAAGACGAAAGTGAGATTCTTCTCTTTGGGATGGATTCACTTACTGTATATACTATATAATTCCACATTCAAATTTGTTTTTCCTTTCTTTGAGGCAATCCAAAAGTAGTAAAAATGAGCTGCTGTGCTTGCCAGCCCAGAAATTGCCTTACAGTGGCCGGTTGGGGCAAACCAACATTACAAACTCAGAAACACTTTCAAAAAATTTGGAAACACAGTTTTATACAAATTTACATTTAAAAAAAAAAAATTTTGCAAAACAAATTTACATTTTGGAAAACAGACTTACATTTGAGAAAACAAAATAACAAGATGTGAAACTATTTTACATTTGGCCAAATCAACTGCAAAGTCTGAGTCTGACCCGGAAGTGGTTAAAGAAATATTCAAGTTGAACAGTAATCTGGTGCCTTTTTTTGGCACAAATATGAACAAATTAACATGGTTTTGTTTTTCGTGTGGTCGGTCTTAAGCATTTTGATGCAACTTAATTTCCATGTATCTTGAGTCTCAACAGCTCCCGTCACGTCACTTATGGGTCAAACCTGGAGCTGGTACTTCTCGAATACAATATATTTATGGTTGATTTGGTCTAATGTAAAAGTGTTTCACGTCTTGTTATTTTGTTTTCCAAAATGTAAGTTTGTTTTCTGAAATGTAATTTTGTCCTATGAAATTAAAGTTTTTTCTCCAAAATGTAAAGTTGTTTCCCAAAACATAAATTTGCTTTCCGAAATATAAATTTATTTAACATTTTGTAAAAGTGTTTCAGAATTTGTAATGCACCTTGTTTTGCACGTCCTAGCCACTGTATAACCCACTCCTTGATTCAAATATAGTGTGACCAAGGTTCAAAGTTTTAATAGAATGCAAATGTTAAGCTCAATACAGTGTTATTGAGTGAAAAGACATCATATGAGGATGACTGATAGATGTACATATGCTATATAGAGTTTACAGAAAAAGGCACAGTAAATGTCTATTTTAACTTCAGGAAATTTTTAAATAATTCTCTAAACTCTTCTAAAAGCTTCAGGACATATCTTAAAATGTGATTTTTTTAGTTTTCGACAGGAAAAGCAATGATACGTAATTTCCATTTGTTAACTAACTAGACGCTCAGTTTTATAAATAAAAGCAAAATGCAATAATTTGCCACCACTTAAACATTCAGCGCAAGTTAAATAGCGACTACATATATGATGTGTAGTATTATAAAATAACAGAGGACAATGTTAATTTCAGTCCCTCCCAAGTCGATCATCTTGTTGATAGTGTTGAAGGCTCGCTGCGAACAGCACTCAACTCTGTAGCCCCTCTAAAAAAGAAAATACTGAAACAAAGAAGGTTAGCTCCATGGTATAATACTGAAACTTGCAAATTAAAGCTAATATTGCGGAAACTTGAGAGAAACTCCATCAAGCTGGAAAATTCTCATTTAAATTGGCAAGATAGTCTAAAAACTTGTAGGAGGGCCCTCCGTGATGCCAAAGCAGCCTACTACTCGTCTTTAAAAAAAAAAAGATTTTGTTGGCTCTAGTGGCCTTTAATTACAGTAGTTTGACAGGAAAGGAACCCAGGCTGCCCGCTTATGAGGAGAGACTTCACACATTGTCCGCCCGCTGTAAGCGTTAGACTACGCTGCGGTCCTACTACTCGTCTTTAATAGCGGAAAATAGGAACAATCAAAGGTTTCTTTTCAGCGCTATAGCCAGGCTGATAGAAAGTCCCAGCTCTATCAAGTCATAGCTCTCACTAGACACGACTTCATGAGCTTCTTTAATGATATAATTCTAGCTATCAGAAACAAAATCCGCCAAGACTTGCCCTTTAACTGGCACCATCTTGTCTTTAAACTCAGGAACATTAGAAACAGCTGTAAAACCAGTCATATGTTTTGACTGCTTTGCTTCCATCAATATTTGCCAACTAACTTCAATAATTTCTTCATCCAAACCATCAACCTGCCTCTTAGACCCCATCCTGAATAGCCTGCTTTAAGAAGTCTCACCCTTAGTCAGCATCTTTCTACTAGATGTGATCAATCTGTCTTTAGCAAAACGCTATGTGCCACTCGCTGTAGCTGTAATTAAACCTCTTGAAAAAGCCCAATGTGGACCCAGATGTTTTAGCCAACTATAGACCTGTATCTAACCTCCCATTTATCTCCAAGGTCCTGGAGAAAGCAGTCGCCAAACAGCTGTGTGAATATCTACATAGCAATAGCTTGTTTGAATATTTTCAGTCAGGATTTAGAGCTCATCATAGCACAGAGACGGCACTGGTGAAAATGACTAATGACCTTCTAACGACATCAGACAAAGGACTTGTCTCTGTATTCGTTTTATTAGATCTTAGTGCTGCTTTTGAGACTGGAACTTTTCATTAGCATGGAGAAAGGAGCAGCTCTAAGCTGGTTTAGGTCCTATTTATCAGATCGGTTTCAGTTTGTGCATGTTAACAATGAGTCCTCCATGCATGCCAAAGTTAGTCATTGAATTCGACAAGGATCTGTGCTCAGACCAATCCTCTTTACGTTATATATGCTTCTTTTGGGTAATATTATCAGGGAACACTGTAACGTCCCTGGCATTGGAACTGGCTCCACCTCCCGGCTGCACCCCTCATCACCTCCACACCCCGCAATCACCTTCATCGCCTTCACCTGTTACCACCTCCTCTTAAGCTCTGTTCCTGCCAGCCTCCAGTGCCAGAACGTATCGAGCCTTGGTGAAATGTTCCAGAATTCTAAGTATTCCGTCTGCCTGTTTATTCAACCTGCCTTCTGTCTGCCTGATTCCCGAGCCTGCCTGACCCACGCCTGATCCTCCTGCCCGATTCTGACTGCCTGCCCGTGTTCGACCCCGCCTGCCTGTGACCACGAGATACTGCCTGCTCCCTCGGACTGCCACCCTGGTTTAGACTTTGGACTGGACTCTGGACTCTCTTGGATTTACCCCTGTTCTCCATTGAATAAATCCCACTGTACTGACCGTCTGTCTCAGGGTGTCTTTGGGTCCGATCTGGTTCGTAACAAACCTGTAATTTTCTAATGTTAAACTCAAATAAAACTCAGGTTATTGTACTAGGGCCTAAGCACCTTTGTGACGCATTATCTAGAGACATAGTTTCCCTGGATGGCATCGCCCTGACCTCCAGCAACACTGTGAGAAATCTTGGAGTTATCTTTGATCAGGACATGTCGTTTAACTCTCACAATAGGCAAATTTCAAGAACTGCCTTCTTTCACCTACATAATATTGCAAAATCAGGAGCATCCTGTGTAAAAATGATGCAGAAAAACTAGTCCATGCATTTGCTAGTTCTAGGCTGGATTACTGCAATTTAAAATCCTTCTTCTCATATACAAAGCTTTTCATGGTCGGGCACCATGTTATCTTAAAGAGCTCATACTACCTTACTACCCCACCAGAGCGCTGCGCTCCCAGAATGCAGGTTTACTTGTGGTTCCTATACTCTTAGTAGAATGGGAGCCGAAGTGTTCAGCTATCAGAGTACTCTCCTGTGGGACCAGGTTCCAGTTCCTCTCCTTTCTCTCTCTCCAACTCAGTGTAATCCCATTCCATTAATGTATTTTACTAACTGGACTTTTCCCCTTTGTAGTCGTGTTTTTTTCGTCGTCCCTCTCCTCTCTCCTCCTATTACTTCCTGCAGGTGTTCCTGTGGAGTCTGGATCTGTGGTTGGGAGTCTCCTGCTTTCCCCGTGTTGTGGAGATAATTCTTGGTGAACTTGACCCAGAAGGGATCTGCTTGCACCTGACCTTTTTTTCCAGAGGCAACATCCAGGCTGGTCACTTATGTGATACAGAACTTGTGGTAGAGAAGGTGGAACAGGATGTCATATAGGAGGATATGGATATAGTTTAGGTTAGGCCTGCTCCTACCTATGTGTATGGTATGCTATTTGTGATAAGACAAGTACAGCCCTGATTGGCAGTGCAGGGACTGTGGAGACAACATGTAGTGGTAGTGTGGTAGCTGAATGAGGTTATATCATGTTAAATGGAAGCATGGCTAGTCCAGTCTGAGACAAAAACACAGGTGCTAAATGGTCAGTAGCTGCTGATACAAAAGGTGGTACAGGATTCAAACACTGAATCTATGAAATGGGAGTAGATGTGTCAATTCTGTATCTTAAGATTGACCAACAGTCACACTTGGTTTTGCAGTAATAGACTGATGTACAGACCATTTCTGGGAAAGTAAGGGTTGGGGGACTGTTGATGGGGCATCAACTGTGTCCGGATTGGGAAAGAGTCACCTTTTGAGGTGAAATTGAGGATAATAGGATGCTTTAAGGTGGTGCTAGAATAAATTAGTATTTCATATAGTTATGGGAGGCCTGCATTCTGTGCCATATCTGCAGCATTTCAATGTGAATGATATGTGAGGTGAATATAACTTATTGGGGGTTAGGGAATGAGTCTTACATCTTCCATTTCAGCCTCCAATTCTCTAATTTGGTGTGTTATAGTCTGTCAGCACGCCTCTAGGTGCTGAGGTCTATCATTAGTTCTCATAGGCTTGATATTTGGGCAGGTGTAGGGAAGGTATCCTCCCATGTTGGGTGATGTTAAATATGTAGGGATTTCAGGGATATTGTCCAGGATGAAGGGGGTTGAATTGGGTAACCAAAATTGTTGCTCTCCAGATGTCCGGGAATGCATCTCACCCTACTAGGAGGGGGATTCAGTGTTGACTGTCCTTCAAAATATCTTGTACTTGTAGCCACGGCACAGCTTGTGGACCACTTGTTAAGTGGTTAACGACCACTTGTGAATGATTATATGAGAAACACTGGGTGTACACAGTCTGGTCCTAGTCTTCAGTTAGAAAAACTGCAGCTATTTATAAATTTGCTTTAACCCTTCTTTATTGTCATTATTCAACGTAGAACAATTTGCAGATTATCATTGTGGTCATTTTACATTATTGCACACCGAGCACGAGTGATACCGTACACTGACACACCAGGTAAGACATGCAATGCTTTACAGGTGTCTTTATAACTCATCAGCTCTTTACCATTCTCTATTGTTGAAATATTTCAGTATTAGTCAACTCTTTTTTATGTCGTTTGGCTATTCCTGAACATCACAGAGCAGGAAGTTTGGAATGAAAATGTATCAAATATTAAAACTGAATACGTATTCCTGTCTTTATGTTTTGACTGGCTTTATGCTAGTCAGAGATATTTGTGTTGCCAGAACTTTTTCCACTTATGAAACTGACAAGGAAAAAAAAAAAAGGTTCAAATTCCCCCACTTTTCAGGACTGGTTAAAATTAAATCTATAAATGATCATTTTACAACTTTTCAACTGGTGGCATGAAATTAAAAATTCTTGGTCAATTTCTAAAATGTTATGTCTCTCTTTTTTAATGTGTTAAAATGTGTCACATTTGACTGAACTATTTTAAAAACTAATTCGAAAACTGGTCTTCAAATGACATATCTATAAAAAAAGTGTTTTTCTGTGAAAAATGTAAACTCACACTGATGGAGTTTTGCATGCAAGAGAAAGAGCTCAATGTGTATAGTTCCCTTTTAGCACAGTAGTTCAAGCTAAAACTGCCTACAACTTTTTTAACCTTTATTTATATCATTTAATAATACAGCAGTGCCATTTAAAGACGGTACAGTGGAAAGTAACTCCATTCTTAAGGAGTTTCAGAATCAGAATTGTGATGCCTGTTTCTGTTTCCACATTTAGCTGAAGTTAGTTTCATCATCCAAATCCAGGTATAAACTGACTCACTGAATGCTATAAATGGGATATGTTGTGGACAGAATATTATCATCTTGGAATGTAAAAAGTAGGAACAAGAATAAAAAAAACAACAACTAAATCTGCAGGGTAACACTGTGTCACACTGATGTACCGATCTTACTGATAACACAGTCTTTGTCAGTAGACATAAACAGAATTCAGTCATAACAAGAGGTGATGGGTATGAAGAGACGGGGCAAAAGGAGGGACATGGAAAATGTGGGGTGAAGGCTGTGGCCCTGAACACAAACACAGATAAATATACACAAAGAAACTGTGCAAATCGATCTTGTTATGGCTTGCTAACATTTTCTGAGAAAAGGCAGCATTTAATTATAACAATTTAACAACCTTCACTCTAGCTATTAATAGACAGAAAATGGAAGCAGTGTGGTGTGATGTTTTACCCTTCTGGGTCCATTATTCTTCAGTTCAAACACATCCATAGTGTAGTTGACCCTACGGCCATAGTGGTCAAACTGGACATTACCTGTTAATCCCTGCAGCCGGACCTGCATAGAGAGGGGGACGTAATACACACTCACATCATGACATGGTAGTCAACAATGAAAAATAAATAATAGTCATTTTAAAGCCTACAAGGCAGCCTAAAGTAAATAATTATTAATAACTGTACATCTGGTGAGTATAATGTTAGTACTCAGACATCCATCCATTATCAATACCGCTTATTCCCTGATGGGGTCGCGGGGGGAACTGGAGCCTATCCCAGTGGTCAACGGGCGAGAGGCAGGGTACACCCTGGACAGTCCGCCAGTCCATCGCAGGGCCACACACAGGACATACAAGGACAAACAACCACTCACACTCACATTCACTCCTAAGGGCAATTTCCCCAATCTCCAATCAACCTAACATGCAGGTTTTTGGACTGTGGGAGGAAGCCGGAGAACCCGGAGAGAACCCACGCAGACACAGGGAGAACATGCAAACTCCACCCAGAAAGGTCCTGGTTCCCCCGGGATTCTAACCCAGAACCCTCTTGCTGGGAGGCGACAGTGCTAACCACCACACCACCGTGCCGCCCATAGTACTCAGACAAATCAGACAAATTTAAAATTGGTTTAAATTTAAATTGCTCTGTAATTAACTTCAGAGTAGTGTTTGACCTGCTTTGTTTGGAAAGCGCTGTGAGACAACTGTTGTTGTGATGTGGCGCTATATAAATAAAATTTAATTGAATTGAAAGATTTGGTTGTATTGACCTGACCGCACAATGAAACCGAAAAAACCAAGATGGACAGCTTTTTTGTTTCTGAACCTCCATCCTCCATTATCGTCTCCGCTTTTTCCCTAATGGGGTCGCAGGGACAACTGGAACCAATCCCAGTGGTCAACGGGCGAGAGGCGGGGTACACCCTGGACAGTTCGCCAGTCCATTGCAGGGCAAACAAGGACAAACAACCACTCACATTCACTCCTAACATGCAGGTTTTTGGTCTGTGGGAGGAAGCCAGAGAACCCGGAGATAACCCACGCAGACACAGGGAGAACATGCAAACTGGGACCCAGAACCTTCTTGCTGGGAGGCGACAGTGCTAACCACCACACCACCGTGCCACCCTTGTTTCTGAACATCAAATGGCTAAATTAGTTTGAGGACAAGGAACAGTTCAATGTTTGGTAAATGTGTGTTCTTCCAAAGATTGAAGTTTGATTTGGAATTATGCATGTTCAGGTGTTATGCATGTTCCTGTTAAATAACATAAATTGAAGCTAAAATTGTTAATACCAACATGAAGCTGTTTTAAAACATATTAAGGAAAGACATGTAACAAAGACTTTTTCTAAATAACGATTGCTCTTTACTGTATTAGTACAATAAACATGTGAACATTGGAATTAAAGATGCAGATTATTTGATAATCCAGAGCAGTGCAGACAAATTCTACATAAAGCATTAAATCAAAATTGATGTCAAGCACATTTCATGGAAAGCACAGATCCAGTGTCATAAGAGAGAATCAGTCTCACCTGTTTGAGAGTGCGCTCCATGTCGATACCTTGGTTCCATGGGGCAGCGGGATTTGCAAGGCAGTCGCCTGCATTCCCCCGTCTGGAAATGTCCACTTTCTGCCTGCGCAAATGCCTGAAGGCCTCAGCCATCACCATCACCCCATCGTATGTCAGCGCTGAGGTGTACTGAAAGACAGGACAGGGAGATTGGTACGGAGTTGGTGTATCAGATATAACAAGGTTCACAAATGAGTGGATAAGGTGTGAATCTTCATCTGACTCCAAGTGAAAATTTTAATTTAATCAGTTTTTCACCTAGTGGTTACTGTTTTGCTTATACAACTATAAAAGAGACACAACGGCACAAAGGGATGAGGCCAATTAAATCACAACTTAGAGAGACAGTTATAATGTTCTACAGGCCAGAAAAATCTATGATGCGCTGCCTCTGCAAGATTGCAGATACCCAAGCAATAGGACTTAAAAGTTTTGTTATTAAGGGGTCCAGCAGTTTATAACAAGGAGAGAGGAGCCGAACATATTCTTGTGAGTGTTAGACTCCTAATTTCCCCTAATCAATTTTTGACCTAAGGATTTGGTATTTTCTGGCCAAAAACAAGCAAACAAAAAAAACAAAAACATTTCCTCAACAGTCATGCATTTCTCTAAAAATCACCTATAGCAACCAAAAACCTGAATAATGAAAAAAGCAATGCGGATGTGAATGGGATGAGGAAAAGACAAGAATGAGGAAAGTGTATGTTCCAGCTGGGAAGCAGCCTGGCATTAATTATCCCAGCTAGCAGGAGTTCATTAACTTTGCCTTCGGCTGGGGAAGAATCCCATTCATTAGCCCACTGCTCACTGTGACATTATGGCTTTCGACATAAACTATTTCATTGTGGCCCTCTGTTGTTCTTTGACAAGCATCCGAAAGTAACACAGTCACACACACAAATACTCAAGGAGTGCGACAGAATTGGCAATACTTCACTTTACTAATTCCCCAAGCTGATATACGATTTTTTCGAATTTTCAAGCTGATGTAAGTTTGAAAATTACTTACAGAAAATCTTTGGCTTGAAAATTGCTAGATAAATATCTGTCTCTCTCCCTTTCTCCCTCCCTCCCTCCCTCTCTCTCTCTCTCTCTCTCTCTCTCTCTCTCTCTCTCTCTCTCTCTCTCTCTCTCTATCTGTATCTGCATACACACATTTATAAGTGTGTATTAGTTATGTATATAAATATAACCACACACACACACACACACACACACACACACACACACACACACACACATTTATGTATACACATGTATGTTTTTGGTGAGGTTGAGTTGGTATCATGATTAATTTAATGTATGGATTTAAAACTATAAACAGAAAATCAAAACTTTAAACCAAGAATTTCCATCAGGAAATATGTGCTGATCTTATCAAATGCATGTGCATGTGATTGAGAAAACCAGGGTAAGACTAGTGTAGCATTATGTACCACTGGCTCTGATGGCTTCCATCCGATACAATCTTTATTATCCTGCAAGGTGTCAGTAAAAAGAGTAGCTTCAAAACTAGAACTGCCTTCAGCCGTCTCTATTTGTGAGTACTCTTTCCAGTACTCTGAGATTAACATTGGAAATAATCCTGTCAGGGAGGTGGGTCTTGAGGGAGGACTCAGTCGCGGAATGAGGGGAACACGGTTTATTTTAACAAAAAACTCATGAGTGAATGTCCAGACAAAGTACAAATCAAAGCTGTGGAAAACTGTGAGCAAAGTAACAAAGCAATAAGCAAACAAGACTGAGGCAAAACTATGACTGTGACAAAGTAACAAATGACAAAACTATGGCAAAACTGTGACTATGACTGTGGCAAAAACTGTGACAAAAACAAACCTGGCGTGGGGGAGACGACGGACAAAAGACGAAAACGCACTCGCCCCAGACAAGGGGAAACAGGACTATTTAAACACACGAGGGAGGGGAACCCCAGGTGTACACAATGGGTAATCATGACATGACGAGACACCAGACGTGACAAATCCTAAAAAAGATGTTACTTGCAAATAAAAATTATTATTAGCAGATATATTTGAGATTTATTTATTTCAAGGAAGTGAGTAAAATTGAATGGTTTTGTTATTCGTTGACCCAATATTTATATGAAATATAGATACACTAAAACTGTTATTTAGTCTATCTCCAAATGTAGTATTACCAATACATTTACCTGACAGAATCAGGACTGTACTACTTGTCACACAGGATCATCTCAAAAGCTCACTACCTGCTTATTCCTGAAACTTGTAAACACCAAGGATTGCTTTGCGAAGTGAGTAAACTCCTCAGAAGAAGCCATAACTGCAGTAATAACATATTAGCAGAGAGTAAGTTTGACTCAAACTGCGGCCAACTTAGTGGGGAACAGACTAATTGAGTCTGAGTGGATTTCCTGGAGAGAGAGTGATTTATAAAGAAATGTAGTAAGATTAAACATATTTTTCACACAATTCCATGTGGTATTACCCTGTGGGGTAAACTTTTCATTTAAACTATCCCAGTCCATGAACACACGGAGACATAGACACAAGCACACATGCATCTTGTTCACTTGCACACTTCCACTCGACTACATTTGGATTTTAAAATAGAAATGTTTGTTGGGTACACAGATTTGCTTGAGGCAGGAAGTTTGCACACCAACATGCAGTAATGTCTTCTTGCCCCAGTGTCATTTGTAACATGTGTTGCTGAAAATAATCAAAATTGGGTCAGTCTTGTCTTGTGCATGAACACGATTTCTCAAATATTTTTCACACCCATTTTAAACAGTGTACCAAATACTATTTCTTTATAATTTAGCCACCTCATGATAGTATTGCTATCATTTAATATATTTTATATCATATAAAATATATCTCTCTTTCTTTTCAACATCATATGCTTTGTTCTCGATGTTTCTATCAAAGGTACTATCAAAGGTTGTTTTTTTTCACCAACAAATAATATATTCTCTCATTTTCATCAAAAAAAGAGCTGACCTTTCAGTGTCAGCTCTTTTTAACTCAGTCTTAGAAACGAAGTAAAGACATTTGAATTTATTGATAATCTCATATTTCAGATTAGTTAGCAACGGAATGCTTTTTTTCAATTAAAAGACAAAATAAATAGATTTTGTGGGAGCATATCTTGCCATTTTTTTCTTATCACGACAAATCCGTTTTATTAACAACAATAAATAACCACATAGAGTAATGTTGCATTGAGTGACTGCTCAGAATTGATCTAATTTGCAATGCAATACCTTTGGTGGGGTATCCGATCCTGGGTATTCCCTTTGATCCAGTTTATTCCAGCGCTGCATTAGTTTGATGACCATGGGGTTACTGAAGTCGACCAGCTGGAAGCCTGTCACATTAGCTCCACCATGCATGAAGCGTTCTAGGTTGATATCCTTAAAGCCCTTGTGAGATAATAAAGGAAAAGCATGGTTACAAATTTAGACAGAAACACCTGGGTGACAAGAAGGACAATGACAGGAGAGGCAGTTTAAGGCATATTCATGAGATGATTAGATTGGCCAGCAGCTATCAATTAATGCTACACTATAATAGGTCAGATTATTTAATTATGTATGTTAGGGGTGTAGAAGTAATTAGAAAATATATTCAGTTCTGATGAATCACCATATAGAATTATAATCATTCAGAATTTACAGAAGAAGTAACAATTGGTGCGTGCCCCTGGTTCTCCACCCCACCTAAAAGCTGAGGGGAAAATATTTTACTGTTCTAAACCACTTGGTCGCTGAGTATAAATGTTGAAACAGAAGTTAGCAGCATTTCCAAAAATAAACCAAAAGGGGTTTTCAGAGTCCTATAATGAACCTCACGAGCAATGCTAGTGATGAGTGTCCAGTCAATGGGCTGTGACATACAGGTATTTCAGAATCTTTTATTCATTAAAATATCCCACCAAGAAGTGACAAGTAAGCTTGTGATTAATCTGCAATAGTGAGAGGCACTGATATGGAGTGTGTGCTCACTCCCATGCTTAAAACACCAAATGTTCCCACCATTTCACTTGCACATTAATTAGTTATAGTCAATTAAAAATATAAATTGTTCCGCCGTAATCTAAGAAGTCGCGAGATTCGAGATTTGCTTATCAGCCAATTAGATGCATGAACGTCAGCGGAGGAGCTCGGTCATTTCAATATGGCAGCGCCCATGAAATGTTGTTTGCACTTGTTTCAAGACGAAAAAGAATTTTCTTGTGCCAGTACTTATTGACACACGCAACCACAAACAATTATCCTACTGCAAATGTTTACAGAAACCGTTATATTTGTTTGGCATCTCCTGGGACTCTTTTGCGCCCCCCAGGGAAGACGCGTCTCACCTATTGAAAACCACTGGTCTAAACCAGTGCAGCTTAATGTGGCTACTCCCCAGAAGAAATGTACTTGAGCTGTGGTGAGTAAAGCATTACGTTTCTTTATAAAATGAGTAAGAGTTAATTTGAATGATTTGAGCCTATTTTTAAGCTGTTTACCATTTGGGATACTTTAATTGTTTTAATTCCTTGGATTCAGTCCTTCAAAAGTGGTGTTTGGACATAGTGTACGTGGTGCCCTGATAGCATTGGCTATCATCCATGTAGATCTCAAAGTTAGAACATCTAAAAAGGGCATTGGGAGGTCCCACAAGAGAGTGAAGACAGAGAGTTTTGTGGGAGTTTGTCTGTGAAGGGAAAGAGCTCAAGCATATTGTTGACATTACTCCTTTTGTGGAAGTTGGGAGACTGTTGTTTTGGTGGTTCTGCTACTCATTCAGTTTTTCTTTTGGGTTATGGTTTGGTTTTCAAATGGTTTTAATTCAACATAATACAAAACATGACCTGTAAGTTGTCCATGCTTTATTTTCTCCACCTTTGAAAACTTACTGTTGCCCTTACTGGTACTGGAATCAATAAACTTAATCTATCAACACTTTGAAAAAGAGAAGTGCATTTTGTTGGGTTAGAGAACTTTACAGCACAGACAATATCACAAAAGGTTTCATGTTTTGTGGTATCAACGTAAAGTTTTTTTTATTTTTTATTTAATTATTTAATAAACTAACATAGTTTAATAGTTTACAAAGTTATAAGAACTTGCTTATTTTTTCTTATGTAGGAAGAAGCCAACTTAGTTCTGTATCACAGTATCTTTCAGAAGTCCTTTTGAATCCAAAAAAGGTTGGAATATGTGTTGTGAATAATAGTGATCTGCGGGATAATTATTTAAAACTAACAGAGTGAAATGACATAGAAAAAAAGAGACAAAACATTAAAGTATTTTTTGTATTCCCTTACCAGATTGGCCATTATGTAATGGTAACCTTTGACGTGTTTCCCAACACTGACAATCTATGAAAAGGCAGAGAAGAGTTTGACGTTATCCTGAGTGGATTACAGCATACCATACATTAATTACATTAAGTGATGCATCTGATAGGCAAGCACATCAAGGTTGACACAGGGGGTCCATTGGCTTTAGTGTGTAGACTATCCAATGTGTAAACAAATTAACAGGCAGTTATTTCACCATAAAAGAAAAACATGCTTTCAAAGACATGACAGTTTATTCTGAAGACATAAAAGAAAGTTGGAGACAAGACATAAGATCCTATCTGGGATATGAAATATATGAAGAGAATCAAATTAAGTGAATCTCTAAGTGAAGTTTATACTGATAAACTATATACTGTCAAAAACCTGAACGTCAGTTTTAATTCTCAGCTACATGCAGGTTTAATTTTGCTGTCCTATCACTTCATGATTGACCTTATGGTTTTCATGACACGTAACTTTATATACAATTAAAACAAATCATAATAGATTGGTAAGAAGACATTTTCTTGATGTAACTCCTGTATGTGGTGTCCTGTAAAGGAAGTTAGAAGCAGCTTTAAATAGAAAAGAGTAAAGTTGATAAGAAATTGCTTTTCTACAGTTCACTTTGTACTAATACATATCAGATGAAAACTTAAAGATCTTATTAAACCTATCAAAGTTATTACATTTATCATGTCAGCCTTTTCCCACAGTGTGTAATACATTTGCAACTTTGCACAATGAATCAAGGTTTCATTGCGGCATCATGGTACTAGAAAAGGTTTTCAGGTAGCTCTCAGTTTCTGTTTGAGAGCATTGTAACTCTGGGTTGGAAAATAACTGTATAAAGGAAAGGAGTGTTTCCTGTTATTGCACAAGTTAGTCATGATGAATTTGTAAACTTCTTTTGCCACTGAACCAACATTAATGAGTGTGATATATGCCTTGCTTATGTCTCTCTCTGACTCACCGACTACATTTTCTTCCCAACTCTGGATTTAAAATTAGGTTTGCTGGTCATTTGGCCCTAAAAACAATTAACTATGATACTGTCAAGCTGAGACCCAAGGGGCCTAATTTATAAAAGTTGCATAAGCACAAGATGGCAACTAATAACTTTGAATATGCCACTTTCCGCGCAATATTTGTGATCTATAAAAAAAAAAAAATCTTGGCGGGCAAATGTGTGGTTCCTCATGCGTAGTCTGACCCATGGGTATGCTCCTTTAGGAGACAGGAAGAACGGCGATTCAGATAGTGAGGCTTGGAACTGAAGCCACACTGCATCACAATTCCTCCCAAACATAACAGCACTGTTATTTATGCTCGTGTTGGTAAGCCAAAACTATTCTTAAGAATTCTTCAAATAAATGAGAAATGTCTAGTAAGACTACTCAAAATTGAATTAAAAGTCAGCACAACATGTCCCATGAGTATTATCACAATCACATTCCTCTCCAAGATGGTCACCACAATGATGTGAACCACAGAAAAACACATGAATAGTGATAATATATTAAGCAATCTGACTGGCTACTGTATACATTTAAATAGCATTGTGAGACTCATGCCTAATACTATGTGATGGATGAATTGGCATTGCTGGAAGACTGCAATTGGAGAATTAGGAGGGAACATGTTTTCAGTGTTCACCAGATTTCCTGGCCCATGGTGAGGACCTGCAACTGGCTCACACCAGGACAAATTAGCTGAAATGTAGCCTATAATGAAACAATTCATGAACTTTCTGCCTGAAGGGAACAACATAAGGTCAAGGATATCAAAGCCACCACTAAGCACAATGATGATGTTTACAAAGCAAAAATTCAATGCTGGTCAGTAACGCATGGTTTTATAAATTTAAATATTTTCGAGTGTACGCCATTTTCAGCTTTTGGGCGTAAGTACTGTTTTAGTACATATTCAATGTTTTTTTTTTTATGAGACCCCTGGTCTGTTTCTCTGCAGGCAAACAAGGAAGGAAATCATGGTCATTTTACAGTCTGTGAAACTCTGCCAAGAAACTGTAAGAGGTAGCACTGGAGACCTGTTTAATTCGGAAACTTCTGTTGTGAAAGTGGGTTGCTTATTTTCCTTTCTTGATTATCTATGTAATACAGTGAAATATCAAGGTATTATACATTAGATTACAATCTCTCCATACATCAAGCTAATATGCAACTTGATTAAACAACTTTAATAATGCACTTCAATTTGTATAACTTTCTAATCATCTGCCAGAAAATCACATCCCATCTGTAAATGAAGCCTGTTCCTGGATCCACAGAGTTTATGCACTAACAGTCAGAGTAACATCTGGTTTCCTCAAAGCCTTAAGATGAACTGATCCTGCTGTTGACAATCAGCAACTAATGAGGCACACATATATTCAAACCCTCATCCTAGATTAGGAGATATATATAATATTATGAGAATATTTTAATCACCACTGAAAAATTGTGCAAGATATCAATAAAAGTCCTTTGCATTTACTTGGAAGATGTTCAGTAATGCATCAAATGAGGATTATTTGGAGTGCCTGCTCTGCTTGGGAGGTACAGCAATGCAAGCCTGCACATATCTGCAAGGTTAATAGTCAGAACTGTGACAGATGTCAGAGTGGAAATTTGCTAAATAATTGAAAGACTATGGAGAGACAAGTTGCCCAAGGGAAAGATGGATGAATGATGAGATGAGGACAAACAGGAGGAGGAAGGTGAACATAATATTCTGAGTGTGTTTATGCCAAATCACACCACTTGTGATCAGAAAAATCAGTTTTTCACTTTCAAATGAGCACATCCATACTTGAAACTGAGTAAAACTAACAGAAAATGTAACAAAAAACATTATTGTTTATTAGCATACAGTCCATTTCCAAAGATTTTAAAGCGAACTTAAAAACATATGAAATGGGTGTAAATACATTGATATTTCATTTAATTTGTTAAAAACATAAAATGGTAAAAACATCAAATTAAAAACTCATTTGGACTAACCAAACAATAAGAGTGAGTGAGGAGTCATTTGGAATTTAGAATATTTTCTGAATGAATTGAAGATCAAGATTTCATGTCTTTATTGATGTTATCTCCATGAGATGGGATGTTTTCAGAGTGCTCTGAACAAGTGTTTGTAAAAACTAGAGAATGGATAGACAAGATTCTTTCCTATAAACTTGAGTAAAGGCAATTGGACCTCTCGCCCTGTAGGCTTCTTTAATTCAAAATGAAAAGATGGGGTGTTTCAAATTATAAACAGATAGAGTTGTTAAAGTCTTGCTTATGTGAGAGTTGTTGGAGTCAGTCTCAACTGTAGATTGTCTAACTATCTGAAAGGCTGAGTTTTTGTCATAGGGTCCAAGATGGCTATGAAACTGATGAGAAGGAGTGACAGGTATCTTCTTATATTGTATGAAGATGGTACCAACACCCCCTCCTTTGCATCAAGTTTACTTTTCCAGTTTCACATAGAACGTATCCTTTACTCATCTTTCAAACAACTCTTTGTCCAAAATGTGTACATGACTGTCCTGAAAAGCATGTCCCTTATTCTTCAGATGGAGTTGAACTGCTGGCTCTTTTATGTTATGCCATATGCTTGCAGACCTATTGTTTGGTCTCTCCTATATAGAGGTTCTCACACTCCTCAGTGCACTGCATATTCAACACCACTAAGTTTGTGTTGGGGTGTCTTGTCCTTGGGTTTGAGGTACATAAGAATATTGAGACTGGAGAAAATCCTTCTGAGTTTCTAGGAAACTCAGAAGGATATGGCATGACAACCTGTTTCCCCCTGGTCTTCTTTCGTTCTGGATTTTGAGTCATTTTTAGTTCTTTGTTTTATCACTTAATTTTGATCAAGAATTTGGCTTCACCACGGTATGGGTTTTGAGGCATATGATTGGCTGAACGTTTAGTATGAGGCTATGTCACGCCCTGCCTAAGTGAAATAAGAAGTGATAGTTTTTAATTTTGACTTTTACTTTGGGCTTTCAAGCAAGATGGAAGGGTTGAGAATGGAAGCTTATCTGCCTTGGCTGACAAGCCTCTTCAGTTTCACATGAAAGTCTGGGACAATTCTTTTGAAGTTGTTTTGATCATTTTAAGTAAGGGTCCCATAGAATTTACTACAGGGTGTTGGAGAGGAGGCTATGAGTGGTTGTCCCACCTAAGAGGAGTCCCACCTTTTCACAACAAATTCATAATTTCGTTGTTAGTACGGGTCAGTTCAAATTAACATCAAGCTCCAGCTTGCCTCTACATGAAAAAAGAAGACAACTTCTAAACACGTCATGGTGCATCACCTGTTCTAACATGTTCTGAAGTCTCTCAGCCTCAAGGTCGATGACAAACTTCTTCTCCTGTCGCCGGTCAAGATCTTCCAACAGTCGCCGGTAGTTGGCATCACTGAAATTTTCTACACAGATGGCACTGACCTGCCAGTTGTTTTGCCCTGCCTTCTCCATGATGGCCTGTAAGATGGCGTACCCTGATATAGTCAGACACAAAAGGAAAACATTCAGGTGTGGGTTTAGTGTTGAACACCTTCATTAAATGTATTGTGCAGTATATCTTATTGTCGTAGGTAAAATATGAGCTGAAAGTATGTAACACATTATTTCAGTACATTGAACTTCACTATCAAATTAATTAACATTAACAGAAGTAAAGTTTAAAACAATAGCACACGAAAATGTCAATAAAAATTAAAAGTAAAAAAAGTCTTTGCAAAACAACTTTCAATTGATCTTTTCTGGACAAGTACATGTCAGGATAGACACCCCAGCCAACACAATACAATTCCTGAAAGCTGAGGTGGATAATGATTCTTTTTCAATAGAGGTTATGTTATGCTAAAACAAACCAGCCACACCGAGTCATCAGTTACTGGTTTTGAATCAGGAAGAACAGAAGGTGTAAAGATCTGACCACTTTTAATGAGGACTAAGTTGTGAAAGCATGATTACTGGTGATCAACAGCAGATCATGTGTATTCACTGGGACTCACTGACACTCCTACAAGGTGTCATCCTCCTTCCTCTTTTGGTTGATACAATGCACTCAAACTAATATGATGTGCCACCTTTCCAAAGAAAGTGTTATTATATTAATTTATTTTAACAATGGAGAATGGACTTTCACAGAAACATTATATCTTAAAAGAATGTGTGTGTGTGTGTGTGTGTGTGTATAGGGGTGGTATTCATCTTGTCCTACAATCTTACCTCATAATGTCAAATGCAGCTTGCTCCAATTATTCAATTCTTTATGCTGTTCCACATGATTTAATCAATATTCATATTAAGTACCATCCCTAAACATTTCAACCCTTTTTTGTAACAATTTGAAATTTAAGGCAGATACTGAATTAGCACTGCAAGTATGGGAGAGTGGTATTGCATTTGACTTATCAATTGATTTTGTAATGTGACTATCTGGAGAAATCTTCACTAACCTCCAACAACAGACTTAGCTGTATTTAACAGCACTAAAATATCATCTGCACATAAAAATAATTAGTGCTCTCTTCCCCTCAGAAGATTTTGGAATATTCTGTAACCTTAACAGTAGTGCTGGGCAACTTCTAAAATGTTCAGTCTTTATAAATATAATAAATGGTTTTTATTAATCTCCATTAATATAATTATCATCATTATCATTATCAATTACACAGCAGTATATATAACATTTTAAAGTACTGTTTTATGAAAAAAGCCAAATAACATTTAATTGGAAAAATAAGGTCCTTTTATTGCAGTAATCTCTTTATATTTCTTATAATGTGTACACAAAAATAATTAAATCACATTATTTCAAATTAAATAGAAACCTACAGTTATTTACTGAAGCCAGGGCAATAAACAACATTTAATTTAAATTATATTTCAGAATGAAAGTACTATGTTGATAGAAAAAAAGATCTCAAGTATTGCTATGCATACAAGATAACTTTGTTTTTATCCATCCTATTAGGAAGATTTTTTTTGACGAAGTTGAATGTCCCTGACAAGTATTTTTCTTCATTTTGTTGTTATTAGTTGTTTCTGTTGAAAGTAAGGAGTCCTAATATAAAACCCCTAGCGATCATCATCCAGTTCTTTCTGTCATCCAGATATGAAAGTGTGTGCAGCTGTCTTCATTGCCAGTGAGCAAAATGGATTAACGCAAGCAAAAAAATTGTCGGTGTGGAAAAGGCTTCGGAAAAAAAACAGTCATCACCCTTATGGTGTGGAGCCTAGACCACCGGTGAGCAGCATGCCGACAAGACAGAGCAGACATGAGGAAGGAGCTGTGCTAGCTTACCATTCGAAGTTTATGTAAACTTCTAACACCGCAATGGGATTATCAGACAACAACAACAATCAGAGCATCCAACCACAAGATCTCCATCACCACCAATGAGCCAAAGCTTTGACATGAGGAACTTGAGGGATGATGAGGAGCAAGAACAGGAGCTTTGTCAATCCATAGGACAAGCCACCGGGGAGCAGTGGCTCCATGAAGTCATTTAATTTAGTGCCACTCTCGAAGAGATGCGCCAAGAGAACGCTAAGCTTAGTTAACAGTTCAAGAACCTGATAGGTGCTTTGCAGTCCAAACCATGACTAGTAGCAAAACCACTAGTCATGCCACCTCCACCTCAAGGTGTATACAGTGGTGATTATGGACAGTACCAGCTTAAAACCAATACTCTTCCATACCATCCATCCATTCTCCATCGCTTATCCGGGATCGGGTCGAGGGGGCAGAAGCCGAAGCATGGAAACCAAGACTTCCCTGTCCCCTGCCACTTCTGCCAGCTCCTCCGGGGGGATCCCGAGGCATTCCCAGGTTAGCCGGGACAAATAATCCCTCCAGCGTGTCCTGGGTCTTCCTCTGGGCCTTCTCCCGGTGGGACGTGCCCGGAACACCTCACCAGGGAGGCGACCAGGAGGCATCCTGATCAGATGCCCGAGCCACCTCAACTGGCTCCTCTCCACGTGGAGAAGCAGCAGTTCTACTCTGAGCCCCTCCCGGATGGCCGAGCTTCTCACCCTATCTCTAAGGGAGAGCCCAGCCACCCTGCGGAGGAAACTCATTTCGGCCGCTTGTATCCGGGATCTCGTTCTTTCGGTCACTACCCAAAGTTCGTGGCCAAAGACTAGGGTGGGAACGTAGATCGACTGATAAATTGAGAGCTTTGCCTTGAAGCTCAGCTCTTTCTTCATCACGGAAGACCGGTACAGCGTCCGCATTACTGCACACGCCTCACCGATCCGCCTATCGATCTCGCGCTCCCTGCAGGGTTAGGGTCATTAATGAGGGCCACCAGCCACGTTAACATCAGTAACAGGTAAGTTTGAAACGAAAGACACTAACCTGTCAAAATTCAGTAAAATTTTGGGGTCTTGGGGTTTTTATCCTTGTGGTATCGAATATTTTCCTGAGTATCGGTATCGAGTTGAAAATTTTGGTATCGTGACAACCCTAGTAGCGGTTGGGAGGGGGTGTGGGTGTTTTTGTGTGTGTTTTGTTTAGTTTTTTGTTTCATGTGTGTCCGATTGGAGTGATTGGGGTTTTGATTGGGTTTGGTTCTCGGTCCACTGTCCCCGGATCCACCTGTGCTGCTGCTGTCGTTGGACTGGGCGCTGCCACCGCCTCCCCCCACTGCGGTGCCATCCTGCGGGCACACCATGGCTCCAGTTTTTTTCTGCTTGTTTGTGTGTGTCTGCTTACAGGTGCTCCTACAGGTCTTCCCTCAGGTTTGCCCACGGTGACTACAGGAAATCTTTCTACAGATAAAACAGCTGAATGGATGGTTTTGTTGTCAATTTTCTTTTTCCGGCGTGGGATATTGTTACATTTTCTCTATTCTCTCATGCTTTTTTAATTTAATCTTTTGTTCCTTTTTTTCTCTTTTCCTGTCCCCCGGTCAGGTTTGGCATTAACTATCTCGCTTCTGTAACAAAAATACATCTTAAATAAATAATAAAGCAGTATTGGATGATCAAGGGAGGCTTCTCACCCTGACTCCTTTGGCAAAGTAAAAGTGTCGGCAGAGCAAGGCATTCAAATTACAATTCTGTTGCCATAATGATAAACACAACAAGGGGTAAGAATAAAAAAAACACCTCAGTACACGTAAGCACATATACAGTCAAATCACAACATCCGGGACAAATAGGGAGGGAGGGATAGGGGGTTGAAAAGAAGGGGAGAGGTAACAGCGAGGCAGTAAGTCCAAGGAATGCATGAAGTCTGTACTTGTGTGTGTGTAAGTGTAAGCAAGCTGGGGGTCCATAATCCACAGGCTAGATGGAATTTGTCCTTATGATGCCCATAGTCCTGCTTGGGAGGAGGGAGGGGGTGGGGTGGGCAAAGCGTCCATCTGCAGTTTCAACCAGGGCAAAGTTGCAGAGTAGCAGCTGCAAGGCTGCTCTCGGGTGGCCAGATTGAGATAAGAGAGCTAGCTTTGTTCCAGACAGAGGGTGTTTTGTCTGTATTAAGTCCTCAGCAGGTCTTTCAATGGCGATTCCAATTCAGCTGAATTTTGTTATTTTCCGTCCATCCGGACCACCAACTCTCCAAGGTGTTACCCATCACCTTCATGCTGTCGTCCCCATTTTGCTCCTATGAGCCTCCTGACTGCTCCACTGAGCATCCAGTTTGCCCACCAGAGAATCATGTTTTCGAGACAACTCGCACAAAGTTTGAGGCAGAGTGCTGATGGATCGGAAAACTAGCTCGATCGGCAGCCCGCCACCAGTTGCCGTCAGCCTCCGAATTTCTCACAAACCTAGGTATCCACCAAATCCAATCAGCAGGAACCCGGTTATCATGAATCCAAATAGGTAGAGGTCCTCAACGTCCTCCACGGAGAGAACTGAAAGGTATAAAACCCTCCACTTCTTCCAGGCATCTATTGTGTAACCTGCAGGGTGAGTCCCAGCAGGACAAGTTGAAGCCCCTGGAGCTTGTCTTTGGGTAGTAAAAATGATGTCAATGCGTTGATAGACCAGCCGACCAAATCCATGGTTGATCTTATGGCTCTGAGATATGACAGGACAAAGATAGTAAGCAGGCAAAAAAAGCATGCAATGTATAATCAACGGGAATGAGCAATACCGCAACATAAACTCTGAGCCTATTGCTAGTTAACAGCTAACTCGAAGTCGCTTATTTGTGGCTAACTGTTCTTCACACAATACGAACGATAGATAAACTACTGCTAAATTATCAATTCGAGAAATGGATTAACACAAAGTGTAACACAACGTAAACATAATATCTCACGGCTCTATACTGTAGATCATTAAACCGATGTCTGTTCTGGATCAAGTGCTACGTATGTGATGCATTCAAGAAGACGCTTTATGGCCAGGCATGGGAAACCAAAAGAAAATTAGGAAAAACTTCTGGGGAGGAGAACGTGAGCTGCAGGAAGCATTTCAGGCACTTCATCCAGACCTCAATGAGCAGCTAACATGCCAGCAAATCAAGTTTGTAATCCATCCTCTTGGATCCCCACCCCCCACTTTGGAGG